GCGGTGTGGCCTGCGTAGATGTCACAGCTGCATGCACAGGGGGATTTGCGGTGTGGCCTGCGTAGATGTCACAGCTGCATGCACAGGGGGATTTGTGGTGTGGCCTGCGTAGATGTCACAGCTGCATGAACAGGGGGATTGGCGGTGTGGCGTGCGTGGATGTCACAGCTGCATGCGCAGGGGGATTTGCGGTGTGGCCTGCGTGGATGTCACAGCTGCATGCGCAGGGAGATTTGCGGTGTGGCGTGCGTGGATGTCACAGCTGCATGCGCAGGGGGATTTTCCGGCACGGCGTGTCATATCCGGCATCCAGCTCGCAACAGATGGTGAAATGGGCACTTGACCTCAGCCGTATTTTTCCTCGGCGGGACACTGCAGACGCAGCGCGCAGAGGTGCTCTGTTCGACACAGAACCATCTCCGGTGTGTCGAAGAGGCATCTGGGAGGGGCGGTTATGGAGGCTGGGGTGACAGCAGGGAAGCACCTGTCCCCTGGCAGCCGGCTCTGTCACGCTGCCTCATTACTGTCATGTGTGCCAGAGGCTGGAGTGTGATTCACACAGGAAGCGTTTCCACCCGCATTCAGTATGAATCACACTGTAACGGATTCAGCGCCAGGTGAACCGGAGGACTCTGCAGAATCCCCCAAAATCCAACTGGCACGTCTTCCTGAATCATTCTTTTGTGTAGTAGTTTTGCATTTCCTCCCCTTCCGTCTGTCTCACCCCTTCTTTTTTCCCTCTCATTCTCCCTCCCTCCCCCTCATCCTTTTCTCCCCTTCAATTTGCCCCCCCCCCATAAAGGACATCCTGATCCGTGCCCAGGCCCTGGCCTGTGAGGGCGATCGGCTCATCGAGAGCTCCCACTACGCCGTGGACTCCATCCTGCCAAAGTGTGGCGATCTGCGCACTGTGACGGAGGCCCTGGTGACGGAGCTGAGGGCCCGCAAGGGCCACCTCCTCAAGGCCATGGAGCTTCATCAGACCTTGGAGAAGGTGAGTCCCGCTCAAGCCGCTCTCGTGCTCTTCACTGTGCCACCGCTGTCTTAAACCTGCAGTTCCCCATACTGCCACTAAAGGCCGCCAGTGCTCCCCATACCAACAGCATACATTTAAATTTATTGCATTAATGAATTTTTCCTATTGATTTTTTTCTGCTGTTCTTACACCCTTTACAGCCTGGTGTTTATTAACCTCTAAAGACGCCTTGATTGATTAATATGTCCTACATCCTAACCTCTCTGCCTGTGTACACACACACACACGCACACACACACACCTCCATCTTCATCAACCCCAGTAGGTTTTTTTAGTGATGCCACTGTTGTTTTCAGCAGGCAGTAGGCAATGAGGTGAGTGTGATTCACGCATCTGAGGCCCTATGCAGTCTAGTCTCACATACATCCCACCTGCATCGCCTCCTGTCTCTAATAGAATGACCATGTTTTATTCAGCTGGAATTCTAGTCGATAGATTCCATAGATTCCCTGATGTCTGGTGTGTCTCACTCTGCAGGCTGATTATGGGTTACCCTTCAATGAGATTTTCCCCTGACATCATAGTACAGCTGGCTTTGGGAGCCACGACAACAGATTAATCATTCTTTAATTTAGTCCCCCCCCCCCTCCCCCAGGGTATATCTAGTTAATTCTCCCAGCCAGGCAGACATGACTAATCGCTGTGTTTGCTTCTAGGCTGCTAAGTGGTGTGATGATGGGATCTACCTGCTGGCGTCGCAGCCGGTCGACAAGTGCCAATCACAGGACGGGGCGGAGTCTGCCCTGCAGGAGCTGGAGCGATATCTGGACACGCCCCCGCAGTACCGGCTCACGGACATTGGCGCCATCTGGAGGGAGTACGAGTCCGTGCTCACCGCCGAGTTCAGGGTGAGGCTCCCAGTCCAGAGCTGTCTAGCTGGTGCTGAGGCGGCCAACAGACCCAGGTCACAGAAGGAGGCAGGGATGGGGGGCAGCATTATTGGATTGGGGGTCAGGAATGGGGGGGGGGATCTTACAAAGAAAAGCCATTTTGGCAACACAAGAGTGTCAGGTGAGAGTGTCGATGAGGGGGAATCAGGTCAGGCAGACTAAGGCAGTGCACCCCCCCAGCTCGAAAGTATAAAATGCAAGCAGAAGAGGTGTGGTTTATGACTGAAAGTTTGAAAATATTACAATTCATGGGTAAAACCGCTTTGTCCCTGTACTGTGAGGATGAATTACATTTTTTCGTTTGGCAGACTTTTATTCATTCAACAGAATCTTTACATCGAAATGATTCGTTTTACAGACTCTGTGAGTTACATGTTTTTGTTTACCAGACTTTTAATTTAAAGTAACGTGAGGAAAAAAAGTGGAAGAAAGCAGAAAGAAAAAGAAAGTAGGATCAGACAGTTGGGGTTAGAGCACAGCCCAGTGGTGACGTCACTCTGCGATCCATGGGATTTGAACCAGCAAACTGATAGGAATGCAACTTACCTCTCCTCCTATTTGCCAGTTTTCACATTTAGCTTATGCAGCTAACTGGGAAATCCTGCTTTGTGGAATACCCCCCAGGATAAACAGTTAGATGATGGATGGATGGATGTGTGCATTCAGGATAGACTTTTGACCTCAGGGTTTGTCCACACTGGCCTTTGCAGGACCATGTGGAGAAAGGCTTCAAGAAGCAGGCATCCATGCTGGAGATGTTCGACAAGCGGATGGTGAGCCTGAAGAAGCTGGCGGCCAAGCAGACTCGCCCCGTCCAGCCTGTGGCCCCGAGACCAGAGGCCTACAGCAAGTCGCCGCTGTCCTCCCCAGGTGAGCCCCAGCGTTACGCAGTGCTGGCCCCTGACTCAAAGGGGCGTTGTCCAGTTCCTGCTGGCAGATCAGTAGATCTCAACCTCTTCATTCTCTGTTCAGCTCACCGGGTCCCAGAAAAAGCCACCAGTGAGGATGATGCTCCGAACGGAGAGACCTGCAGGAGGGTAAGCGTGTGGCTGCCGCCCTCAGTGGAACGCCGGCCTGCCTCGCAACCGGCCTGCTGCTAAACGGGCATGTGCCTCCACCCTCCTCAGGCGGAGGCTCAGAGGCAGAACAGCGCCACCAGGCACGCCTCACAGTCCGAGGAGGAGGAGAACCTGGCCGTCCTGAGACGGTGAGGCACAAAGGTTCAAGGTCAAGGCTCAGAAGTGGTGCCGTGCCAGCGTGAGCACGTTAACACCCGTGTTTATTTGCAGGCACGTGATGAACGAGCTCCTGGAAACAGAGAGAGCCTATGTGGAGGAGCTCTTGTGTGTGCTGCAGGTGATTCGTGTTGCACTTTCCCTCTGTGTCCGCCAGAGGGCGCCATTGCAGAACGTACAGTCTTAGCAAAGCTATATCAGTGTGACCGTTTTTGCGATGTCTGTCCAGGGCTATGCTGCGGAGATGGACAATCCTGCCATGCAGCCCCTCATTCCCAGCGCCCTTCAGAACAAGAAAGACGTTCTATTCGGGAACATGCCTGAGATCTACGAGTTCCATAAGAGGTGCTTACATTTCTGGATACAGACAAGCGCAACATGTTGGAATGATAAAAATGATTAGCTCAACTTCAGGCTACACGACAGTTCACTTATCACAGCAGTTAGGATGTTGTACAAGCTTCCCCAAAATAACTTTCCTCCTCTTTTCCACCAGGATATTTCTCAGGGAGCTGGAAATGTACACGGAGTCTCCTGAGTTGGTGGGACGCTGCTTCCTAGAGAGGGTTAGTTACGGCACCCCGCATCTGTGTGCGATTAGTCGTGTCTGTTGGCTTGGATAAACTGCCACTGACACAGCGCTAGTTGGCAGGGATCCAAGCCTTCAAGTCGGTTATCGTTTTGGTTCCTGGCTGGGACACATTTCTGTGGATGATTAAGCAAGACATTTAATCTTGAAATTCATTCGTGTGCATCGAGCTGTATAAATGAGTAATATGAAAAGGCCTGTTAGAGTATTGGCTTTGGGTAAAAGGTGATTTATGTCAGAAATGAGGCCTCTTTGTAATATGCTGGTTTCTGTATGTCAGATGACAGACCTACAGATTTATGAGAAGTACTGTCAGAACAAACCTCGCTCCGAGAGTCTGTGGAGGCAGTGCTCAGACTGCGCCTTCTTCCAGGTGAGCCTTCACCATTCGTCAATGCTGAGCTCAGTGAGAGGGCTCCATCTCTGATTGGCTGTTGCACTAGATCAGTGTTTCCCAATCAGGTCCTCGGGGACCCACAGTCGGTCCATGTTTTTGCTCCCTCTGAGCTCCCTGCCAGACGGACCACATTTTTGCTCCTTGGGAGGGAGCGAAAACGTGGATTTTCTGTGGGTCCCCGAGGAACTCCGCTAGATGACTGCTTCAACAAACTGGAGTAGAAAATACTGCTCCAACTGGTTTAAGCTGTAGTGAAAACACACACCTGTAACTGGTTCAAACAGGAGTGCCAGAAGAATCTGGAACACAAGCTGGGACTGGACTCCTACCTGCTGAAACCCGTCCAGAGAATAACGAAGTATCAGCTTCTGCTGAAGGTGAGCATTCTGTTTGCTTCTTGGCATTTTGAGCTCCGGGCTGCATTAAGGCATCTTATGTCACCTTCTATAGCTTAAGTCACCAGTGCAAAGAATCCCCACATTCTGCCCCCTGTGTGTCCACTTTTTGCTCAGATCACTTTGATTTTTGGTCAGCTGACTAGAAGCAACGCTAGTTTATGAAGTAGAAGGTTGTGCGAAGGAGTGATGCAATCTTATATCCCGGCCGATACTGCAGGAGTTGCTGAAGTACAGTAAGGGTTGCGAGGGTGCTGACGACCTACAGGAGGCGCTCACGTCCATCCTGGGCATCCTGAAGGCCGTCAATGACTCCATGCACCTCATCGCTATCACCGGATACGAGGTGAGGGCACAGCCTGTAGGTTAATGAGCAGATGGACTCCATGCACAGTCCCGCGTCTAAGGGGGATTACTGTGGACTTTTCGATAAACCTTGTGTGAAGAGTAACAACAATCAACCCCCCCCCCCATTCAGGGTAACCTTAGCGACTTGGGCAGACTACTGATGCAGGGTTCCTTCAGCGTGTGGACAGAGCATAAGAAGGGTCACGCCAAGGTGAAGGACCTGGCACGTTTCAAGCCGATGCAGCGTCACCTGTTCCTGCACGAGAAGGCGCTGCTCTTCTGCAAGCGCCGGGAGGAGAACGGGGAGGGCTACGAGAAGGCACCCTCCTACAGCTTCAAGCACACGCTCAACGTGAGTCCGACACGTGGGGCGTCTCCATACCTGCACATGTTAGATGGTGAAAATTAGGGAGGTTTGAGAATCGATTGGCATGATCATAACAGTCAGGTAAGGAGCATGCACTGATGGACCAGTGTGAGGTTTTTTCTGGTGGCTGGAGTGTCAATCCCTCCACCAACCCCCAAATTTCCCTGTAAGTTGGAGGACCTCCTTATAGGGCTGGATGTAGATTAATGTCATACCCAGGATGAAGCAATTGCAGGTTAAGAGCCTCGCTCAAGGGCCCAACGGAGTAGGATCACTCCTGGAATTCACAGGATTCGAACCAGCAACCTTCCTATTGCTGGCACAGATCCCTAGAAATTTGGGGGTGTCGGCTGGTATATTACTGCTCTGCAATTAGAAATTTCCTGAACTGGCTACTGTAAAGGTGGCATCCTGTGACAGTACCATGCATTCCCTGGTTTTACTGAGCTCTTCAGAATGACCCATTCTTTCATAAAAATTTGTAAACCTGACTGCATGGCCAGCTGNTGTCCACAAGATCTTGGAGTGTGTCTGTGGGAATTTTTGCCCATTCATCCAGCAGGGAAGAAATATCACAGACAGACATATTGCAATGTTGGCATGCTATGACTTGAATTCAGTGAGCTCTTCTGAATGACCCATTCTTTCACAAATGTTTGTAAACCTGACTGCATGGTTAGGTGCTTGATTTTATACACCTGTGGCAATGGCTCTGAATGAAGCACCTAAATTCATTGATTAAGAGGCGTGTCGCAATACTTTAGTCTATATACCAGTGGTTCCCAACCCAGTCCTCAGGGATCCCAGATAGTCCACATTTTTGCTCCCTCTCAGCTCCCAGCCAATCAAGAACACCGAACACCTGGTACAGGTGTTGGGAGCTGGGAAGGAGCAAAAATGTGGACTGTCCGGGGTCCCTGAAGATTGGGTTGGGAACCACTGCTATATACTGTATGATCTCTGCCGTAACGTCTCATGTGCAGTTGATTTTACTGATTTTGGCGTTTTTTTGGTGTTTTCTTTGGGTTCTGTTATCACTGAAAGTTGCTTACCTATTGTTGTTGTTTCTTTTAGCTATTTAGTTGCAGTTGCTTTTACATTTTTGACATGTGTCTCTTTCAGTGTATTAAGGGTAATGCAATCTCAGTCTGACTAATGGATGGTGCTTTTCAAAGTGGTTCGATTCTGTGATGAGTGAGCCGGCAGATTGTGGAACCTACAGCTTTGTGACGGATTCTCTTCTCTGACCTTCTCTGGCCCTCTCTGTTTCTCCTCCATCCTTCAGATGAAGGCCGTGGGCATCACAGAAACCGTCAAGGGGGATAGCAAAAAGTTTGAGGTGTGGTGCAACGCCAGAGAGGAGGTCTACATCGTGCAGGTGCGTCAATGTGGCTCGCCGACGGCCCACAGTGTGACCGCAACGTATGACTGTTTGGGTGACAGGAACAGTGTCCCCTCACAGTTTAACCATGTGACCCACAGGCATCTACCGCGGAGGTCAAGACGGCGTGGGTGAACGAGATCCGCAAAGTCCTGACGGGACAGCTGAAGGCCTGCAGAGGTTAGATGTGGCTCAGGCTTCGATGAAGGAGCTGCTCACTTCCTGAAACAAATGTTTTTTGGGAGGGGTGGTATTAAACACACTGGTATCCAGAAAAGGCAGTGCGTGCGTGTTGGTCAACTGAAACGACCTGTTAATGAGTAGCTCTGCGGAGTTTAGCACTGATTTTTCCTGCTTTCTGCCAAAGTCACAAAGAAGTATCTCTGAAAAACTAGTAATTGAATTTAGTGACTAAACTGAATTAGTTTTAGATGGAGATGCAGATGGCAGTTATTATGTTACGTACGTGAACCCTACAGGGTCGTGTGTTGCCTTAAGAATGTTGTTGTGTTTGTAATGGAAGACCTACGTAAAGTAATATAAGTTTTTTTACCAGAAGCCAGCCAGCAGAGGGCGCCAGACCAAACATTCCAGTTCCCTGTTTCAGAATCAGCCCCTGTCAGCGTAAGGTGAGCTTCCTGCACTTAGGCGACACACCTGCACTGGCAGCTCCAGCTGTAGGTGATCGATTATAAGACCTGAAAGTGCTTCCAGGCCACACTCCAGGAGTTCTGAGACCTCACCAGGGTGTCTGTTATTTTCCATTCCCCCCCAGTCCATTGAAAACCAGTCATAGGGGTAGTGTGAAGAAGGGGGAGGAGAAGAAAACGGAGCCCGCCAGCCCCGAGCCAAGCTCCTCATCTTCACCCAAGTACAATGACAAGAGCAAAGGTAGGACCCCCAGGAGCCAATCCCGGGCCTGGGCTATGTGGACCCGCCTCCCAAACCCTAAAGCTCCTCGTTATGATTGGTTCTTATCGGCCCACCCTCCTGTCCTCTCTGCACATCTCACCCAGGGGGGTTACTGACCCTGGGCTTAAATGAGCGTCTGCCTACTCTGCGCAGTCAGTGCGATACTACGCAGATCCTCGATGGTAACCATCCCCTTATATACACACTCTGTATCCAGGAGTACGTGCAGTGGCACTATGTGTTCATACAGTACTGAGCGTTTAAAGCTGTTTATCAGGATATTAAGTGCATATTTGCTTGGGACAAGAAACACAATTTAACATTAGAATATATGCAAATTAAGAGTAACACAGTACAAACTATGTAGAATTTCTTCCGTTCTCTAAAAAGTTACTGATAATTTGCTGGGTGACTAGATAAATACCGCCTCAGTTCCCTAACCTCTCCCCAGGGGCAATTTTGTGTATTCGTTGAATTTCACTGTCAGCTCAATTAATGAATTAGTTTAATTAGTTTAAAAAGTCAAGATATTAACAAGGTGTGTTAGTGGTCGAGTCAAAACACACGAACGATTTATACAAATACTGGCGGGACTTTAGCAGAGGTTTTGAGATGGTTAAGCTAACAAACTGTAACAGACGTGATAGCATAGTTTTATACCAACATGAAAATCATTTAAACGTCAATTTCTTTGACTGCTTAAAGGTGATGATACACACAGCTACTTTTTGACTGCTGTTGCCGGGCAACGGCCATCCAGGTGAGACAAAGGGCAACTCATCTGTATCTCATCTGTATCAATCAAAGTTTTTCGAATAGAAATTTGTTGCCCAGTATTGATGGGAATGTGCCCGAGCAACATTGCCCAAAAAGTAGCCCCTTCATACTGATAATTATCGATGTTTAAATCTCTAGGTTCCCTCCTGCCGCCGTATTGACACCTCCTGCTGTTTTTTCAGGCTGTTCACTGAACCCTGTATAAACCCAGAAACCCCCAAAGCACACAAAACAAGCTGCCCCTCTGCGCTGTCTCTCTAACCCCCGCTTTCCTTTCCTTCCCCACCCTCCTTCCTTGTCCTCTCTCTCCCTCTTCCTCCCTCACTCCACCCATTCCACCGGCCAATCGGATCACTTCCCCCATCTTCCCGGCCAATGGGGTCGCCGCTTTAGATGAGCCAGTCACCAGCCCCACCACAGAGCGGGCAGCCGTGGCCAAAAAGCGCTTTACCTTACAGAGCTTCAGCAACCTCAAGAGCCAGAAAGGTAAAACTGGCCCAGCAGGTGGCGCTGTTCATTAAACACACCTCATCTGTGCTGAAAACTGCACAAAACCCTTGAGAAAACATGGATTGATCTGGGTACTGTAGTTTTTTTTCTGAAAAGCTTTTGCACATCATCAGGTAGAATTACTACACCATGTAGGATCCAACTTGATTGCTAGAAGGTGTCTCTCCGGACAGGTCACACCATCTAGTTCTAAACACCTTACCACAAAACTACCACTGTCAGGTTAGCATTAGCCATTAGCGCGGCATTAAGACTTGCCAGTTATGATCCACAGCTTAAGACGCCAGTCCCAGGATACCCCTCTCTTTTATATATTGTCTCCTCCTGTCTGTTTCACTGTCCTCTCCCCTCTCTTCCTCTCTTCCCACATCGCTACCAGGATCCCCCCCTAGCCCAGACCACAAAACCAAACGGCATGAGGTTAAGAGCGACCCAACTCCTTTTGGCATTAGAGGTATTCTGTCCTCCTGCCACATTCCCTCCCTCCCACAAGGGGGCAGACTGGATATGGGAATTTCTCATGTCCCAATAATACAGAGCTGAACACTCTCTTCACTTGTTGTATATGAGATGGGTGGCTTGCATTGAGTCCCGTGTATGTCCATCCTGTGTTTTTCATCTCAGCATTCATCCCCTTTCAAATTCATTTTGTGTTCTTTCATTTAGTCCTCTAATGGTGCTTTTCCACTGGCACCAAGAACCAAACGGATTTCCACTGAAAATTGTCCAAGCCGTACCAGCGTCGTGACGGCGCTGAAGGGTCTCTGATTACTAGCAGGACTGAAAGCGTGATCAAACCAAACTGGATGTGTCACCAACATCTTACTGGTCGAAATGCACGGAGATATTGGTGATCTTCCTCGATACACTTGGATTATCTGAAGGAAAAAACATATATTCTACATATTATTCATTATTAATAATGAATATTGCAATGTATTCCCGATTACTCAGAACTTGAAAGCTTCCAACCTCCTACTTTAAAAAGTACTATAGAACAGCTGAACGGAACGGATTCGTAATGCAAGTTTACGCACGCAAATGCTAAATCCGTTAGCATTTGATGCTAACATGACATGGAGATTCTCACAGATTTGCCAGCAGATATTAGCACATAGGAAACCATGATGTACACTGTTAGCCATCTCTTAGGTTTATGATCGCTGTCACACCCAAACCTGGAAACGTCTTTACCGAGCTGACCCTCCTGCAGTGGAAAACCAAAGCGAGCTGGAACCGCGCTGGAACCGCTCTTCGCAGTACTGCTCGGTTCCTGCATGCCAGTGGAAAAGTGCCATAAGCGATAGCCATAGGCCTCCTTTATTTGAATATGGAAGGACGTTGTGTCGTCTGTAGACCCTCCGGTACACTGTGAATCCATACAGAACCAAAACCCGCTCATGGGCCCAGAAAGGGCAGCCTGATCGTGGTCATCAAGAAGCCAAAATTTGAACTGAAGATTCTCAGACTGACGACTGCTCCCTTTAACCCCCCCAACCCCCACAGATACAGGCCCACCCATCTCCCTGAATAGGGTGAAATGGCTGAGTAGCTCCAGCCTGATGCAGGCCAGGAGGAAAGGTAACTCACCGCTGGCTGGGATATTCTTGTCTTCCTGGCCTGTCCTGCTCTTTCAGGAGATTCTGTGCACGCGAGAAATCTTATCTTTCCCATCCTCCTTTTGGTGTTTCCGCAATGGATGAACCTGTGATCTAACATTCACCACACCAAAAACATTCCAGTTTAGAGGCACTGGAATGTTTAGTGGAACCCAGAGTGTCATTTTTTTTTTTTTATCTTCTCTGCGTGCATTTTTTGGTGAACATGATTAATAAAGTTGGTAAAATGCCCAGATCTGGGCAGCCCTATTGCAGTCCTGAAGATCACCACTGGTGTTGTGAGTTTGTGATCCTACATGCATCCCATCCTCGGATGAACCAGGAAAGTAGGTCTTGGTGTGTTGCTGCTGTCATGGTTTGGGATGATGATCACTGTTGGAGGTGCATGCGCTGCTTGTTGGGCACCCTTGACCCAAATTGGTGTGGTGTTCTCAGACTTGGGACTGTCATCCTGGGATCTCCCTGTGTCATGTGGTTCTCTCTTGTGGATCCGTCCTCCACTTCGTAGTTCCCTGACTCGGTTCTCGATCGCAGCTCTGTCACCGAAGGGGGCACACTCCCTCCCCCACCACAGACCCGTGCACCAGGTCAGCATATACCTGAGCACTGGAACATCACCATCAGTCATAATGAGCTCCTGCAGCACTGTGGCACCTTGTCCCCCATGACGGTGTATGTGTCTGCATGCTGTGCGCATGTAGTGGGACCTGCCAATCCCAGCAGAGGTGGCCAACGTGGACAGACGAGTGTAGCCTCCCGTCTCCTAATGCATCTTCTCTCTACCAGGCTGGGCCAAGGCCTCTCTTTCTCTGGACATCTCGGAGGAGAATGACGGCTACTCCAGCACCGAGGACCCCCTGAACTCCGACCCTGAGGAGGAAGTGGGCAGAAAGCTGGTCTGTGTTCATTCTGCCTGCCTGTCAGTGTCAGTCGGACTTTGCACCTCCTGTTTGGCTGCATCTGTTCATTAATCAGCATCAGTTTGCATCAGTCAGTCTGTGTTTCTGTGTGCCAGTCACTGTCGTTCTGTGTGTATCGGCTGATCTCTATCTGTCCTTGGGCTTGTATGGACATTTCCAGTGTACATCCACATCATAGTGCTGTTGTGGATATGATTTTGCTGGAAACAGTGGTTGCCAACGTCCTGGTTATCTGCGAGTTTTCTGTTTTGCGAGGAACAGAAACCACCATGTTATTAATTTGGAGGCTGGGTTTCATATCAGATGAAAATTGCATGTGGCTGCAGCTTTATTGCCCTTGTGGCCTTCCAGAACATTCTGGTCTCCATTTATGAGACTTAGCGTACAGTCACTGCCCGCCTGGGTGGTGCCTGGCTCATAGCCTCCTCGTAGTTTTGGGCTACGGAGGGAACTTCTTGCCCACACATTCACTAAGAGCCGGGCGACAGCTCAGTCCTGTCATTAAGAAATTCCACACATATTTTATCTATCCTCTATTTTATCTTTACAATAAAATTAGTATGCAGTATTTTGTCAAAAAAATACATTTTTCTTCTCTTGAATGAGTTTTTCTATTACATGTATCTGAAAATACATGTTTTAATCTTGGGTGGCACGGTGGTGCAGTGGTTTTCGCTGTTGCCTCACACCTCTGGGACCAGGGTTTGAGTCTCCACCATGACTCCATGTGTGTGGAGTTTCCTCCAGGGACTCCAGTTCCCCCGATAGTCCAAAAACATGCAGAGGCTAATTGGAGTTACCTAAGTGCCCATAGGTGTGTGTGTGTGTGAGTGAATGGCGTGTGACTGTGCCCTGCCATGGGTTGGCACCCCAGCCAGGGTTGTTCCCTGCCTTGTGCCCATAGCATCCAGGGTAGGACAAGCTGTTTAAAAATAAGGGCTTCCAGTATGTGATTATGAGTATATACTGTGAATGTAACTTTCATTGCCTTTTCCACTTCATCTTCAGTTTAAAACTCATTTTCACGGTTTGACCATGTAGTGGGGGTCTCCAAGTGTGACGGACCCCTTGCCCACGTCTCTGCTCGGACCCACAGGCCCCAGGGAAGTACACAGTGGTGGCCGACTACGAGAAAGGGGGACAGCAGGACCTGACTGTCAAGAGCGGAGATATGGTTCAGCTGATTAAGGAGGGCGAGGACGGCCAGTGGTGAGGGTCTCTCAGACACACGCCTTTGCTCCACAGCGCTGACTCTTCCGGCGATTCATCCTTTCTGTCCCCACGCAGGTTCGTGCGTAACCTCAAGACCAGTAAGGAGGGGTGGGTCACGCCCTCCAACCTGCTGTCTCTTATTGGGGAGTCTAAGTCCTCCCAATCCCTCAGCAGCTCAGGTAACGTGTCCCCATGTACAGCTACACAGTCCAAAAAAGTTCAACAAGTAGAGCATTGCACTAGGAACACAGAGGTTGTGGGTGCGAATCCCATTGAGTGCACATACATTATAATCCTTCCCTCTACCATAAATGGCTTCGTATTAATGTGTCAAATAAGCCCCCCCACCACCACCATGCCATCTCTGGCCTGCTCCCACCTCCCATCCAGGCATTCTGTGTGACTACCTTAAATCTCAGGCAGGCTGGCCTCACAGCAGCACCAGCAGGCTAGAATGTTCCTTTGGGGGTGACATCTGCAAAGATCCATGAAGCAGCAGTGTTGTTATCACAATTGGCACCAGTCTGTATTTCCACAACTATTAATGACCCTGTGTTGCTGTTCCTGCTGTGATGGTCCCCCCCCCCCCCCATCTGTATTTCACTACACACCCCACAGCACTGTGTTGTTTCTCAGACTTTGATGCATTTGAGCACAGTTCAATGACCCTGTGTTGCTAGGTGTTCAGGAAATTTTAATCCCGGTGAAATTCTGAAAACCTTAATCTGTGTGCTTGCCTTGTTGTTGCCGGGGCCTTCCTGCAGAGGGCAGTGCTTCCGGTCATCTGAGCACCTCGTCAAGCTGCAGCGAGACCTACGCCAGCTTCTCCGACATCAAGGCCTGAAGCCGCACCCGGCACGGCACGGCACGCAGTCGCCCCTGATGCTTCTCACTTCATGTTTCCACCCAGTGATTCCCATCCCGGGCCTCGGGGACCCGCAGACAGTCCACGTTTTTGTTCCCTCCCAGGCAAAAAATGTGGACATGGGGCATTTCTAGCTATCAAAAAAATCTGGGACTAAATCATATTTACCTGGGGCTTGTCTTTGAAGATTGGCATCGGGACTAAAATACTCGGGGCTAAAATACTCGGGACTAAAATACTCGGGGCTACAGCCCCAAATGATCAAGCCTAACAACGCCCATGACTGTCTGTGGGTCCCGGAGGACTGGACTGCTCTAAACCCTTGTCTGTATGTATGCGTGTGTGTGTGTGTGTGTGTGTGTGTGTGTGTGTGTGTCTGTGTGTCTGTGTGCCTGCTGGAGCAGCACACCTGGGATTGCCAAACTATCTGATGCCCTATAAAAACCAAGGAAATTGTGCTCAGCTACATGTTTCTCTGAAATGTGCTATCTACATAACAGGCGCCCCAGACTTTACTGACACTGTGGTCCATTCCTGTATGTCACAAGAATGTCTTTTCAGTTAAAAACGTTCCAGGGCATTTATTGTACAAATGGAAAACTTTCGAAAGAATATAAACTTGTATCAATGAAATAGCTTTTTATACTCGTGGTTACTGTGCCCATGCACTGCATAGCTGAACTGGGTGTTGTGATCACTGCAGGTGGATTTGTCAGGTTTGATCAAACTCGCTCTGTCGCTGTGAACTATACCTGTAAGGTGCTGAGTTCATGCCGCATGAGTTACTCAGAAGCACCGGTGATATTTAACGTATTTCCTGGTAAAAGACTGGCGAGGGACTCAGATTACTTAACATTGATGTTGTGTAGATATATCATTGGTACACAATCACATGCAAATGTCACTGAAGTACTGTTTAAGGGTCATTGTCTTCACACTGGATGTCGTTTTTAAAACTTGTCGTTAAGCATGGAGCGTTATTTAATATCACAGAAAGGATGGATTTATAAAAGCATCCAAAGAAGTTGAGGTTATAAGCCATGGTATAGTAACCCATGGTACACTGTAAACGGTCTGTTTTTTTTTTATACGTCTTAACTGTTTCCGTTTTGTTTGAATGAAATTGATTACCGGTGAACATTACACATCACTTGTAAAACAATCAGCCGTCCCGTAGTCCTGCTTAACGCTTCCCGGTTCAGTATTATGCCTGATAATATTTGTTACAAAACCCTGGACATTCCTCCAACCAGCAATTGTCATTGAGTCTACTGGAATTTTTGTCAGAAAATGTGATGTAAAATAACGTACTTTTAATTTTTTTTCCATTTGCACTCTAAGTCAATATGATATTGATGTTATTATCACACTTTATGCAGCACATTGCCGCAGATGTCTTTTTTCCTATGGTAACTGGGTCAATAATAAAATTATGTATATATGTATGTATATATGTATGTAAGAAAGTCTACGCTGTACTGAAAGAGAAAATAAAGCAACTTGTATTAATTTCACTGGTGTGTGCTCTCTGTGAGGTTTGCCGTGGCCAGCATTGTTTCTCGTACACTGGGGTGCAATTAAATGTATAATTTGATGCGACTTTTTGTTCATTCGCAGGTGCAAGGTTTAAATTTACTGATCGAACATTTTTTAGTCATCGCGCCCATTCGCAGATCTCGCAAAAGCGAGAAATGACATCCACGGCCAAGCACTAATCACGGCTGATTCTGCGTTAATTACAATCATGGATGGGACCTAGGCCTGAGCTGTAACTCGACAAAGTCGTGAAAAACGAAACTCGATACAACAGCTCGACTATCCGAGAGGGTAGGTAACAAGGCCCGTGAATTAGAGGAGGGACACCTGATCACAGGTATAGTCTGTATTAGCCGGCAGAGAAATCCAAATGTAATGATTTCGGATTTCCTTTTAACTTAACTGGCCTACTGATCCTCCATGGTCGCTTATTAAAATTCATCAGCATTTCTGTGAAGGCTACTCCTTTTGTGTTATGCTTAGGTTAATATAAGTCTGTATGCTTATTATTATCGATCAGGGAAAGGATGGTCGGCGCTGGTGCTCCCGTGTGTCCCAGCGTTAAATAAATCGACTGCCCGTACACAAGAAGGTGTCTCTTATGTAAAATAATAATAATAATTAATAATAAAAAGATCTGCAGGGTCTTTCGTAAAGCTTTGGAAATTTACGCTTCTGGTTGTGCCCGGTTTGGGAGGAAAAAAACGAACACATAAATGCTACCACCAAAAATGCCAAACACTGGCAAGCGCCCTGAATTTCACCAACCGGCCGCCCGCAGAAACACGATCTGCCAGTGATCCCTCGAGGCGGACGCGCTCCGCTCCCGGCTTCCCATTAAATACATTCGCGCTGATTATGCAGGGCTCAAAGCAGCATCACGCTGATTTTCATACACTTCCAAAAGACACTGTCCTATTGTGTACTTCCTAGAATAAGTAATATATTAAGATTAAGCTTTCTAGGTCATAATAACGACTGTTTATTCAGTGCTGGCTTTATTACTGGCATTTTTCTTCGACAGGATTATTGCTTAATAATAACTATTATTATTATTGATGTTATATGACCGTCCGCTTGCTGCGTCGTCGCACTGTCGTACTTGTTGCTGTTCGTATCGTTCATGGTGTAATGCGAGGCGGCGCAGCTACGGGGCAGCAGCGCTGAGCCGCAGTGTCATCGCGGCACCGCCCCCGAAACGCGTCCGCAGCGCCGGGGCTTCATACGCACATTCCCGTGACGTTCAGCCCAAAAAAGAAAAGGCAGCTCGGGTGCTTTGAGAGACGAGCCAGCTAGCGACGAATCCGAGTGACCAAAAGGTACTAAATATAATCCGATCCGTGAGTAGCAGGCGTTATGGGGCGCCGGCGGGGTAGGCCGCGGCTTGGCGGTCGCCTCTTGCTGTGATTGATTTGTCTTTGTACGCGCTTTGAAACTTACGTCGAAAGGGGCACATTTTCTAATCTATGAAGCCATGATACAAGCTAATCTACCAATCTGCTCGACTGTCTTTATGGGTTTTTTCCACACAGTAGTAAGGTAGCGGGTGATTTGCACATGCTGGGCGACCGTCCCGTAGGAGGAAATGGCCATCGGCCGCTGCGCCCCGGAGACGCTCGGCTGCGCTGTGAATGTCGCCTGTCTGCTTACGCTCGCGCCGCCTTACATGTTTCATGCTGCAGCGGTGCCACGCGCCGTGCCGTAACTGCACTTACAGAGGGGCCGTGCGCGCGGGCCAGTGCATTCCTCTGATCCCTCCATGCATCCCGACTTTGTGCAAATGTGTTAAAGAAAGAGATCGATGCGGCAGAGTTCGCCGAAGAAGAATGTGGTCAGCTTCGCTGGAGTCATCCATATTTATTTACAGCTCGTGCGAAAACAAACAAGTAGTTAGTTCGTGCATTCATAGTTACTGTGCATCCCAGAGTCTGGTAAGTAAATATGCTGAACAGTAAATACTTAAAGTTCGGCACTTTGATGTGCTCCTGAAATGTTTCTTGAATTGGGTGACCGCCTTCTGATGCACCGCAGTCACAATGTAGGATTTTGCAACGGGAACACTTGATCCACCATGATTTACAACGGTAGGTCACTGAAAACAGACCTAGACGTTTTCATGTTGCACTTTTGTCCTGCGCTTCTTCATGTGGACGTAGCATTAACAACAGTGACCGGAGAACAGGTTTGGGTGCAAGTTGTATGTGGTACCGCTGAATCACATTTGCCAGTTTCAGTAATTCACTTCTGTCTTGTGTAAAAATATGCATTTGTGACATTATATATTTGCCATGCTTTAAATGCCTGTTAGTTTCCTTTTAAGTTTTTTTCCCCATCTGGTGGGGCATCTGAGTTATGACTTAAGTACAGACCATGTTACACAACTTAAGCCTGTCTGAAGTTTTATTATCTTAAAGACAGTTAATGTCCCTATTGTTGATCCTTTGGACATTTTCATCTGTGTATGTCCCCGAGATCACAGACAAGCCACCCACTGTCAGACACACTTACTTATAATCAGTGCTGCTCTTTTCTGACAACTAGCTGTCGACGATCTAGCTGTAAGGTCACCCAAGGCCTTGTGGTGGAGATCGTCGGGTCAGGGCATGGACACCCACGTTCTGTGAGCTGTAAGGTCCGACCTGGGCCATGTGACCATGTAGCCTCCGCAGGCTCGAGTTCTGGTGCCCCAGTTGCTAGGGCCGTGGTCTAACAGAGGCTTGTGGGTGTGATTCCTGCATGTAGAGTTGACATGTATTCTGAGTGTTGGTGAGGACTTCATTCAGGTGTGCTGTGTCTGTGAGTGCAGCCTGTGATGGACACTCTGGCATGTACGTCACCTTGTGACCTTTGCATCCTGGAATAAACTTCAGCATAATAGAAATTGGATGGACAGCAATATCATTTTGGCTAAATTAAGCAAATGAATGAAATGTCTGTGATGGCTGATGCCCGGTGTCATATGCTGGTCCTGCCTGCCTCACTGCCACTCTCTTACTGCAGAAGCTGGGGGGGGGGGGTCCGCTCATCCCGTAGAGTTGTTTTGGTGCTGCACTTGGGTGCTGTTCATATCAGAGGTCACCGGGGTCACGCGTTCATGCAGGTCTGCGAATAAGAGGTTGGAGCCAGATTTTGGTACAGTGTCGGTGTAAAATACGCATTTTCCACTCCACAAGACTGTTTCTCCTTTGAGGAGATCGGGTGTTAATATTTGCGAGGTGAAGCCATTTTGGCCTCTTTCCTCTCGGTCGCCTCCCAAACTGACCTGTGTCCATGGGTGAAAATAAGTATTTAATCTCCCACACAGCAACAGCTAAGGGTGTGACCAGCGCAGATATCAAGGGCTGTGTGGGTTTGTCTTTACCACATTGTGGGGACGTGGTAAAATTTCATACGATTTAGTTTGCGGGGGTATTTTACAGATCCCCACAACTTAAACCTCAGTTTTATAAAAATCTGTGAATGCAGTCAAATAACTAAAAATTGTATTTTGTCCCAGCTTCCAGAGAAAGGTTCAGTTTAGGGTGTATATGCATAGTGCTTCAGTGCCATTTCATGTGTGTTTTTTATTTGGTAAAACTGAGGTTCTAGTATTGCACCAGTGCTACCAGCTTGTATTCCTCCATTTTGGTTTCAATCCTGTGATTTTATTTCTGCATGGATAAACTGTGCAGCTCTGAGAGGTTGACATGTTACTGCTATTGATTTGCTTTTATGTTCTGTTTGAATTCAATACCAGAGTGGCACCAGTGCTTGTGTCTGCTCTCTGACACGGGTCGCTATGAGCCCTCTGAACTGCATTACGGTAGCCTGCACATTTGGGACGGCTGTGTACTGCGCTTGCATCCCTGCCTTTGTGTTCTGTGTTTTTTGTCCCCCAGTCAGTAGGGGGCACTCCATTGTTTCCGATAGACCTGTATTTTTCTGTGGACTGAACCGCGCACCAAAAGTGGAATGTCGATACATGGTCTAACTTTGATTAGCTGAAACTATATAAATGGCTTTTATTTTGTGGCTGGTTTTGTTTTATTCCATCTGGTGACTTGTTATGATGTTAGCCGATCGGCTCTCGGACTGGCTATCTGGCTTTTGAGATATGAACTTCACTTTCACTTTTTTCGTTCTACAGCCTTTTACAGTCCATGATTTCAGTACTGCTTAGGACAGTAAATAATTTCACCGTAGGTGCTGGGGGTTGATGGCAATTACCATAAAACCTTCTGGTCACTAGGCTCTAGCTCTGGTTTTCATTTCTTTACTTTTTTTCTTGACAATGACCAACAGGTGCCTTTGACAGCTCTGTGGAAGCTCATGTACAAGAAGCAATATCAAAACATGAATCCGTAGTGGGTTTGGGTTATGCTCTCCACGTCTGTTCCTAAATGGTCGTCTTGGCTTTCAGGCTTGACGTACCACCAGCATGCCACTGTTTGGAAAATCTCACAAGAGCCCGGCGGACATCGTCCGGACACTGAAGGAGAACATGGCCATCCTGGTGAAGCAGGACAAGAAGACGGAGAAGGTATGGGACAGGGAGCCATTGACTGATTTGATGCCATTCCTGTTTGCTTGTTGGGTTAGTTTTCAGGGCCTCATCCTGATTGGCTGTGAAAGCGGCTGTTGTCGCGCTCTTGTTGGCATATGAACATGAGCAAGGAGCCCCTGCCTACTTCTCCGTATCTGTTCTGGATAATTTTTTCTGCCTGGCTGATGTTATCAAGTGGATTATCTCCCTCTAGTGGTGCCTATTGATTATGGCAGTTTTCTAATGTGTGTGTGTGTGTGTTCAGAGGTTCATTAACTATGAAGACCCATGTCTGAAGATGCGTTTGCTTGTCTCCCAGGCATCAGAGGAGGTGTCCAAGTGTCTGGTGGCCATGAAGGAGATTCTCTACGGGACCAATGACAAGGAGCCGCACACAGAGACTGTTGCCCAGCTGGCCCAAGAGCTGTACAACAGTGGCCTGCTCATCTCCCTGGTCCAGAACCTGCAGGTGATCGACTTTGAGGTGAGGCCTGAACCTTCCTGCACCGAGGTCACATGAGGTCACCCAAAGCCACCAACGCCTTCCACTGCCAGGCTGGAGTCTGTCTATCTCTAGATAGAAAGCCTTTCATTCTTGGATGCAAAAGTTTGAAAGATGGACTTTTTTGATACCCCCCACCCTCAACTGAACCCCAACAGGGCAAGAAGGACGTATGTCAGATCTTCAACAACATCCTGAGGAGGCAGATTGGCACCAGGAGCCCAACGGTGGAGTACTTCTGCTCCCACCAAGAGGTGCTCTTTGTCCTCCTGAAGGGGTGAGGCTTGCGACTTGACTCTACACTGACCTGCAACAGCCGGGGTTACCATGACAACCCATAGCCCTGCGCTCTGTAGTGAAGAGTCTCACTGATAGCCGGGATTTTAACCCCCTCCCCACTCCACAGGTATGAGACACCCCAGGTAGCTCTGAACTGTGGCATCATGCTGAGAGAGTGCATTCGACACGAGCCCCTAGCCAAGATCGTCCTGCACTCGGAGCAGTTCCGGGATTTCTTCAGCTATGTAGAGATGTCCACCTTCGACATCGCCTCCGACGCCTTCGCCACCTTCAAGGTCAGCCAGACCTGGAGAGACGCCTCACGCTTGCTCTACCCCCGTCTCTTGATCCAGTCTGATTTCTGCTTAAACTGTACCCCCCCCCTCCCCCCCATCGGTGTTGATTTTTAGGCCTTGTTCTCTCCTCTCTAGGACTTGCTCACGAGACACAAGGTTCTAGTAGCTGAATATCTAGAGCAGAACTACGATGCTGTAAGTACCGGCTTCATTTGGGAGGGGGGGGGGGGCGGGTTCACCGATACCTTGTGGAAAATTTACTTGATTGTTCAACAAAAATGCAATTTAGTGAAATAGATCACTTAAATCACATTTAAATGGGGTAGCGTAACAAGGGAGCAGTGTGTGTTTGGCCTCTGTGCCAGTGATCGGAAGTTCGCTGGTTCGAATCCCTTCCACAGTAGAATAGTAACATGCTTGCTGGGCCCCCAACCCCCCAAAATACTCCAGAGGCAGCAACTAAATGGCCGACCCCAAGCTTTGCTCTCGCCTGTGCGCGTCCGTGTCTCAGAGAAAACAGAAAACATGCCATGAGGTATCTGAACCTGAGGCATGGGGTGAAATGTCTTGACGTGTGCATTATGGAGTAGGGAAAGTTGTAACAAGGAGATTTACGTCTGATAATTAATATTTAAATGAGACATGCCGGTGAAGGGGGGAGAGCCAGTAACTCTGCCTTTGTGATGTCACAGGTATTTGCTGATTATGAGAAGCTCCTGCATTCTGAGAACTACGTCACCAAGAGGCAGTCTCTCAAGGTGAGCCTCCCGCAGCCCCCTCCCGCAGCCCCCTCCCGCAGCCCCCTCCCGCACGGCTCTGTGTCCATGTCATTTATTGTCCGGACTCCAAAACATGAGACGCTGATGGCGTGTCTCTGCCTGCACGTTCGTCCGTAACAAGGAATGCGTTCTAAAAGACAAACGAGTACAACAGTAACGTCGCATTGTCCCACATGTTGTGCATTAAAACGAAACCTGCTGATCCCCGATGCCCCCCCCCCCACGGGCGTTTTGTCTGTGACAGCTGCTGGGGGAGCTGCTCTTGGACAGACATAACTTCTCAGTGATGACGCGCTACATCAGCAAGCCAGAAAACCTGAAGCTCATGATGAACTTGCTGAGGGATAAGAGCCCGAATATCCAGTTCGAGGCCTTCCACGTCTTCAAGGTAAACGCCCACAAGGAGGCGCTCTACTTCATAGCTCAAGTCTCCCATCTCACCAACCAGCCCCCCCCCCCCCAAACTGTAAGGATGCTGTAAAATTGACACTTTGTCATTAGCTTCATTCTGCCATTTTGTTTCAGACCAATTTCAGTTCTGTTGGTTGTATATCTGCTAATATAATTACATTAACTACATTTCAAAGTTAAAGTGAACTTCGTCACCTTACCATATACCAGTATGCAGAGACAGTGTATACGTTGTGCACAGGTAGTCAGGACAGTGCAATATACAAGGAGTATGCCAGTAATATGCCAGTACAATTAGCTACCGTAAAATACAGACACACCTATTTTGCATTTACATTTATCGTTTTTTGCCTTTTATATATTGTTTATTTTTGTATTGAACTTCCAGAGAGGGGAAATGGTTTGTTGTGGTGTGTTTCCACGCTCTGATGAAACAGGAATATATTTACGGGAGTCACTTCATGGCGAGCTCCGTGTGTCTGTCTTGCTCAGGTGTTCGTCGCCAACCCCAACAAGACACAGCCCATCGTGGACATCCTCCTGAAGAACCAGACCAAGCTAATCGATTTCCTCAGCAACTTCCAGAAGGATCGCACGGATGACGAGCAGTTCAACGACGAGAAGACCTACCTGATCAAACAGATCCGGGACCTGAAAAAACCAGCCTCTTAGATCCTGGCGGCCGTGGGCAATTGTCTTTTTTTTTCTATTGAGAAAGCGACAACGAGAATAGTACCAATAATAATTCTATTTAAAAAAAATGAAAAAAAAAGAAACGTTTTTATTAGTTTGCTTAAAGTTTGCAAAAAAAAAGGAGAAAAATAGTTCTCAATCTGAAATTCCACATCACTTTAACGACGTTGTTTTATCCGTAGTGTAGTACCACGTATGGATTTTATTGCAAGGGTTTTCCCCCTTTTTCTTTTCAATGCAAATTTTCTTTTCGAGGGAGAATCGAAGGTTACAGGAAGCCGATCCGGAGGGTGAAGCCTTTGCAAAGAGCGGCGCTCCTAGGCGGTCCGAATCCGGTGCGGCTCCTGTTTGTGAATAGCTACTGTTTTCTTTCTGTCTGCGTAAATTTGCCAACCTGGGTTTTACTATAAGAAGGATGTCTTTTATGAGTTATTTGTGAAAAGTCCATTTTCGTCAGACGGGCTTCTTGGCGTGAATGCGGCGGCAGTCCGACCCAGAGACCTTCCACCTGCATTCCTATAGTTTTCCTTTCCGAGGCGCCGCATGGGCTTCATTCACGCCGGAGCAGCTGCTGTGATGACGCCTGAACCTGTGCGATTGCGAGGAAATTATTAAAAACGAGAAGTGGAAAGCACTTGCGATTAATCTGACAGAAAAAAAACGAATGGTTTCTGCTTAGCCTCCGAACATTTTGGGGAACATCGGCTGTAAGCGAAGTTCCCACATTTCATGCCGATATAATCAGTGTTTGAGCGGTAGTTGTCTTGATTGACATGATTGTGGGTGAAAGTGGAAGAAAGTGAAATATTGATTTATTTGATTCAGTGCTACTAGTATTACTTTATTCCGTATAGCTGTATTCTAATATTTTAAAATATTTTTTATTATATTTTCTTGATAAACAGGGCTGTATCGACTTTTTTTTTTTTTTTTAATCGTGTGTTTTTGGTCATGTATAAAGGCTGATTTTAAACCGTAGCGGGGCATTTACAGTGGCCTGATACTTTGTATTTTTCAGTTGCTCCTTCTCAAGTAAAGATAAGAGCGGAGGTTGGTATTTTATGCCTGGTATTTATACATGTGTGATTTGTAATGTGATTTATTTAGCTTTCATTCATTATTCGCAATCGGGAGAATTGCACTGCGGGCCTGTGAGACACCACGAGAGATTCCTTTTGCTTTGGTGTTTTTGCTGTTTTTTTTTTTTTTCCCCTGCGTTTTGACGAGATTTTTAGGGGGAGCTGCGGTGAAGCGATGAACCCCTTTAAGCAGGCAACGCTGCTATTTAAAACGATATTTGTAGCTGAAAATTGAACAGAAAATTTCTTGAAATCGAGGTTACTCCGGACCAGGGACATGTTTCCTCATCTGCTTCCATATAAGAGAAATTATGAATATATTTGGAATTAGATTTCAGTAAGAACTGTGAGACCAAGCTCGATCGTTCATATAAAAACGAAGAACGGCAAACTTTGAAATCCATTTGGCACCGTAAAGCTTTGTTCATTTCCCGAAAAGGGTGCACTGTATGGGGTGGTGGGATTTGGCACTATGCCCATCAATATATGCAGCGAAACCACGTCGAAGCACGAGCGACAAAAATGACCGATCGTAACCCGAGGCAGATTATTCGGCAACCGCCGCAGCACTGAGCAAGTCCTCTGTTTGGCACCATCGGAAGCGACAGGTAATTGCCCGTTTTGGGCAGGGAATGTAATGATGAGACAATTGTACGAGGAGGTTGTACGATTCCCCTCGATGCTACTGTAGTATATCACCCACAAAGGAAAATAAAGGATAAATTCTCCAAATGTCTGACGTGGAATTCTTACCTCCTAGCTATTGAAGGTGTTAAGAAATAATGTATATTAATACATGTTAATTACTCAATAATGATTTTCCGGAGAAAAACTGCGTAGACCAGCCAATTTGTCAATTGTCAGAGGAAACAAGTTGATTACCAGCATGACCAATATAATGCATGTAGTTATATCACCATATGTTGTGTTTTTATGTGCTGGGGTTCCCTTATCATTAATAAAATATTGCTCGTGAACCAGCTTTATGCACAGTTAAACCAGTACAGTTATGCTGCTCCAACAGGTAAACCAGCATAGAAATCATGCCGGTCTGTGCTGTTTTTTCAGCGATATAGTAATCCTCTGCAAAACTGGGTTGATTTTTGCTTATTATGGGTTATGTAAATGTAAATGTTTTCTGATATCTGATTTTTGATATGCACCTGAATCCGCCTGGTATAAGCCAAATATGTACAAGAGCATTATCGTACACAAAATAGAATCCCGTCACGTGTCCATTGACGAAAAACGACTAAAACGAAACCAACGAGGCGCCTTGGAACGAAGCAATCGAAACCACGACAGGAAACGTGGCTCTAAAGGCTTCGCATATCGCTGCCCTTCGAACTTCGCGATGAAGCGGCGACAACACTTCTGCGATTTCTGTCATTTGTCCGAGGAGAATCGGAAAACTGGGCCTCTGATAAAGAGAAATGCACTGGTGGTCCATGAGAACTGTCTGGTAAGAGGCGTGGTATTGGGTTAACACTTAGAACAACACCCGCGTATGGCCTACATGATCGATGCATTTTTGTACTTTATTAATTTGCTCGTTTTTGTGTTTTTATTCAAATTTCTTTCCCCAAAGCTGTACTCGTCGGGTATTTACAGCAAGAACACGTCTGATGTGGACGATCTGTGCGGCATCGATGAGCAAGATGTAATCAAAGAAATCAAGAGAGGCAGAAAACTGGTACCGTGAAGCTGTCGCTTTTGTCCAAAGTGGCTTAGAATCGGTCAGCAGGCATACATCTCAAGAACCAACTTTTATTAGGCCTATACTACTGCCACTGTCAGGGATCTGCGTTTTGTGTCCACGCTTCAGTGTCCTTAGATAAAACTGGAGGATACCTTTATGCCTTTCTTGTCTTTTGTTAGAAATGTTACAAATGTAAGGAAAACGGAGCGACCATTGGCTGCGAAGTGCAGAAATGTAAGAAATCCTACCATTATCTCTGCGCCTTGGACGATGGAGCTCAGCCAATTGAAGACATTCCGAATGGCGTTTTTAGGTAAGCGAGAGGGGACTTTTCGAGAAGAAAAAAGGTTTTCGTACTGACTTATAATTGGTTTTTATATGTTATTAGGATATTCTGCAGTGCGCACCGACCGTCACCAGACAAAAAGGGTCCGGGTAAGTTGTATCTAATGGGAATCGCCGTTGGATATAATTCTACTTGCGGTATAAGACTGTTTAAATGTTGTAAATCACCATGTCTGCTGAACAGTCACTTGTTGGTCTCGTTGCAAAGTTCGCGTCGGAGCCGCACATCTGGCCCCATGTGTATCAAAGCCGGATGTGGGGTTTACGCCTGTTTAAAAACTTTTCCGGACACTCCTCTTTACCGCATAGCTAGTTCCTGTTCAGATGCTCCTGTTAAGCACACTTCTGAATCAATTCGGATAAACCCGATCCCGATCACAATATAAAACCATTTTGCGTTGCATGCTGACCTCGTAAGCAAACAAAAAAAAATGTTTAAAAAAGCAGCAATACACGTATGGTACCAGAGCGTGTTAATGTCTTATGAAATAGTAGACGATAAAGAGGAGTTTAGAAGTAGACCGATGCGTTATTTCCAGGATTAAAAAAACAACCAAAGACGAGCTCGGGGATGAATGGAGAAATAACTATTACCCTGACTGACAGTGAAAGTGAGCAGGTAAAGCAGAGGACGTTGAGATGCTCTGCACAGGTTGTTTAGGAAGCCTGGAGAGAACGTTTAGTGAACAGCTAAAGAGTCAAACCGTCTGCTAGGTGGCTAGAAAGATGGAAACAAAGAAATTGAATCAAATTTAGAAAACAACACATTGAGAGGCGAGATGCTTATTTATTTATCGATCTTTCCATCTATCCTTTATTTTACCGGGAATTTTCCATTGAGATACAATATCTCTTCTTCCAGGAAGTCCTGGCCAAGATGGCAACAAATAAGAAAAATAAAACAAATGTTTCATACATAAACACAGAGATGATTAATATGAACACAAACGAATTCAAACACATACAAATACTCAAAATCTCCCAAAATACATAGAATAAAATTAATTTATATGAAAGAATAAGCTCAGAGTTTAAGAGATTTTTAAACACATTCAGAGAAGGTAAGGAGTTTAAATTGATTATATTTTGTAATATATTCCACTGACATGGTGCATAAGAACGAACGGCCGGTTTCCTCAGTTCTGTTCGTGTGGTGGGAGGCTGAAGGAGAAGTTTAACTGATGAGCGGGTTCTGTATGTATTAGTGTAGAATGTCAGCAAACTAGATATACTCTGAGGTAATTTGTCCATTAAAGCCTTTGCAATAAAAACCAGGCAATGCATTTTCCTTCTAAGATGCAGTGATGTCCACTCCACCATCTCATATAGATTGCAGTGATGTGTTCTTGCTGTTGCACCAGTTATAAACCTCAATGTTGCATAATGTATAACATCTAGTTTCTTTAAATATGAAGGTGCATGGATGTATATTACATCACCATAATCTAATACTGATAGGAAGGTGCTATACTAGTCTTTTTCTAGAAATAAAGGGAAAACATTTCTTTAAACGGAAATAGAAGCCTAGTTTTGGGCGAAGTTTTTTTTTTTTTTTTTAACTGTTTATATGAACTCCAAAAGACAAATTATGTCGAGCCAGATACTGAGATGACTTAAATGCCGAAAACAGAACCGTAAGGGAAGGCCATTCTTGACCAAAAACTCGTGACCAAAGAATTAGATAATGGTTCTGTCATACAATGTGTGCTTTAACAGGGACTTCCGATGCCGAAGAATTAGAAAGAGGGGATCAAATTGAAGACAGCGAGGAAATACCTTCAAAGGTGCGTCAGCAAGATGTTTCTGCTTGAAAAACAGCATTTAGTCTAAACCGGGTGGTATAAGCGGTAAATCACCAGATTAGTATAGTAAATATGACCGTGTTTTTGTAGTGTTTTGACAGGTGTGAAGTATTTTCCAGAAATTAGAGTTTAAAATGACGTTGTTTCCCCCCTCATTCTCTCTTGATTCAGCGGACAAAAATGAGCACTCGAAATAGGTAAGGCGACACACATATCAGTCTCCAGTTTTAAATAGGGCTTTTGTGTTGGCCTGTCGACGCAGCACTTCACCCCAGCCCGCTAAATGTATTGCAGCCGCGCCAAGAGACGAAGCGGTCAGTTGGACTCCTCTGATTCTTCCTGTTCAGGTTCGTCCATGTTTGCGGTTCTGATCGACGTTTTTACTCACAGTGTCAAATGGCCGGTGTACTACTTCAATAAAATTACAGTTATTGCACATCAAATCAGAACTATTATGAACCCTTTATGATCGATGTTGTGAAAATATTTGTGCCCATTTGACTGCATGTAGGTTAGGTTATATTTTGCACATTTGTTTATATATAATAAATTAAAGTAAATCTATTAGATCTATATGACCCCCCCGAAAGTAACCCAATGAATCAAAGCTTACTGTTGAATACACAATATGATAATAGTGACCACCTGATTGGCTAATTACACAAATACAGGTGTCAAAATTTGTGTTTTACCTTACCCAGCTTTGGGGAGAGACAACAGAGAGCAGGCATTAGGCAGCTGGGGGGGGGGAGGTGTAAGGGCCTTACCAGGATTCAAACCAATAACCTTCTGATCACAGGTACAGAGACTTAGCCCATTGAGCCACTCACAAACCCCCAAAGTAGTAATTGCAACACTAATACTTTATTATAGGTGTCTGCACCCTACATATAATCAGGCCCCCCTTTTAAAATCCTGTGGCTGACAGAATTTTTTTTTTTCCTTTTAATTTGGATAAAATATATTGTAACAATTTGGGGGTCTAAACACAGAGTTCACACCCCTGGAGCAATTGGTAATTAAGGAAGCTGCTCAAGGGCTCAATAGCAGCATCACACTGTCAGGGATGGGATTTGAACTAGTGACCACCTGATTTGGCACAGCATTCTGAGCCACACAGCTATTGCAGCAGCTGTGAAAGTGACGCAGATTCAGTGGTACATGGAGTGACGAGGGCAGATGTGAAGAATGGAAATCTGGGACCTCCACAATCCAAGTGTGTGTGTGCATGTGCTGTAGGTGGAAGGCAGGAGCGTCCCTCTGAGCAAGGACAAGTGGAGACAGATTCTGAAGACGGTGCAAACCCCGGCCAAAATGTGAGAAAGAAGAATTTGACGGTATAAATATCCCTTTAAAAAGCCACTAGAAGTGTATTTTGTAGAGAAATAATACTCAGATGGTTGAATATGATGCTATACTCTATAAACTTTTTCCATAGGTAGCTGCTGAGGCAGACAATAACAGGTATGGATGTCCATATTCATCTGTGCAGAATGAAGAAAGTGTGGGCAGATGGTGGTCAGGCTTGAGGTAATTTATCAGCTGTGTTCCTTTTGAACAGCGATGATGATTTGGATTGCACTCAGTTGGACAGAAATGCTGATGCAGATGAACCACGACCAAGCACATCAGGTAACTTGATCATGAGTGCTTCTCCCCGGTTTGAGGAGGACTCTATGCAAGGCTCGTCATTGGGTTTTTTTTCCCTTCAACAGGAAATCAGGTGACCTCAAATGGGAAGTTCAATGACACAGATTCTGTGAGTACTGAGCTCTAAATGCCAGTATTGCAGGACTCACTGAAAGATATTGAAGTGATTGATTCACATCTCTCTGTTCAGGAGCAGGGCTCAGAGAGCCTTTTACTGCCAATCAAGATCACAGGGGTACAGTCCCTCTGTCCATCCATTCCAGGTAGGTTTATACTTGGGAGTATCATCAAGGTTTCTTATGATTTGTTCCGGGGTTTCTTCTGGATACTCTGGTTTCCCCCCACAATCCAAAAACATGCTGAGCCTAATTGGAGTCACCAAATTACCCGTGTGTGTGTCTGTGTGCACGCACTCTGTGATGGGTTGGTACCGTCTTGGGTTGTTCCCTGTCTTGCACCTGTATCCTCTGGGACAGGCTCCAGACGCCCCCCCCAATAAGAAAAGCAGTTATAGAAAGTGGATGGATGGGTTTTATTCCAGGCTGCAGCCACAATACCAAAGTATCAAGTGTGGAGTCTTCATTTTGGGCCAAGTGCCAGGAGGCAGGATGCATCGAGTCCGTCTTCTCCACCTTCATCTCTTCAATGAAGGAACTGTCAGAGAGAATGGTCTCCAAGCAGGCCAGCAAGGAAGGTGAGTTTACAACCATAGCATAGAGGATAATGAATGTCAAACCAACTGGCAGTTGTATGTTGAGCTCACAGATGAAACAAAAGCAGGGTGTACATTTGGGTGGTTTATTTGTACAGGACGCACTGTAAAAGAACAAGAGCTTAACACTGGGCTTTCAGCGGAAAGCCAGTCTGATCATTGTTCCTCCACAGATTGTATCCTGTCTTTCAAAGTGCTGAAAGCTTCAGGAATGTTACCTGACATACTGGCCCAGATTGAACAAGGTGAGCGGCAGTCAGTATCGGAAGCCTGCCGTGGAAAATGCTGACATCACACGCTCCCCCATAATGCATCACTTTGTCCTCCACAGATATGAATGGGAAACTGAAAATACTTCAGGAAGAAACAAAATCCCTGCAGACGGCATTGTCAGCCATAGGCAGTGCCAGAAATGTCCAGTAAATTATGCTCATCCAATGAGACCATAAAACTGGAAATGTCACAAAAGTAAAATTTGTGCAAATATTGATCGCAGTGGTTCGTGAATGTATACAAGAGGACATGGCAACAGTGCAATAAATTGTCATGTGTTCAAAAGTACAAGGGCTCAGTCACAAAAATGTAGCCTTTTACATCAGCCTAAGGTTAAGAAACTGCCATGTTAAGAATGTGGCCATATCAGAAATATGCCAACATTAGCAGAATCTGCCGAAGCCAAACAGACAGCTTTAAGCAGCTGTGGAAGAAATAAGTATCAAAGTCGAATCTGTAAAATGTGCACACTAGCGGAAGTGCAGTTTAGTGACAGTGCATTCACTTTCCATATTCCAACAGCAGAAGTCAAGGAATGTCAAAGACTGCCACAAAGGGCTAGTCTATTCTGGCATGCATTTGTTCCCAAAGCAAGTTCTGCTCAGTGCTCTGATGGTATGGAAGAAAAAAACAAGTTACCAGGTGGAGAGGAAGAGAAATAGTGAGTTTGTGGGATGCGGTATGTCATTTCACAGGCCACTGAATAAGTGCAGTCGTCATCATGGCTCAGATGCAAGCATCTACAGTCAGTTGGGCTACCACCAAAGTCTCTGCCACATCTCTTCCACAGAAGTCAGTTGGGCTACCACCAAAGTCTCTGCCACATCTCTTCCACCGAAGTCAGTTGGGCTACCACCAAAGTCTCTGCCACATCTCTTCCACCAAAGTCAGTTTTTGAAGGCCCCGCAGCGGCCGGCTCTACAGATGAAATCCTTGAGGAGATTCCCATCCATCTGCCAGAAGGCCGTTGTCTGCGTAACAGCTGTCAGGTGGTTCACACAAAACCTGAAGCAGAACTCCTCCAGATCCTAGGAGGAGAAAGTAGTAGGATGGAGAATATTATTTAAAGGTGCTGGCTTATGTTGACAAAGTCTGCTCTGATAGGCTGGTTTACACTGAGACACTGATAACTCACACAGAACCAACTCTACAGTCATGCACTCATGTAACAGTATAGCACCTCAATATGCTGCAGATTGTGTAGGTCCGTTGAGCTTGAAAGTGGGCTGGTGTTTGCTAAACTTGGGGCCAGAGTTAAGGCTGTCACATAACAGTCCAGAATTTCTGAATGACCCTGTTTTACCACCTTTATACATATGCGGGATTTATATTTGAGAGATGGAGAAAGTGTTTGAGATTCACTGTGTCAGTTCCGTGTAACAAACTCCCCAAATTCAACTATGCCAAGGTAGGTAGATTTCCATTCTTTGGCACCTTTAAAAAAACGCTGTGTGTTCAAGACGAGGGAGCCAGGGACAAGGTGAGATATCCTGACTGAGCCGGTGTACCCACCAGGACTGCACCAACAGGTACAGAGCGGGGAGCATAAGCTACGACCCACCTCAGCATCATAACGCACGGCGGCAGAGAGCAAGCTGAAGGCATTTTCAACCGTGATCCCCCTTTTGATGATGTGCTGGCAGAGACGCTTCAGTCTGTTCTCACAGTATGAGGTGGCCAAGTCCAACAACCCTGCACAGGAGAGTAGATTTAAAGGTCAAGTGATCATAGCGGCAAGGTAGCCAGAGTCATTTTTAAGTATACCAACCAATGGCATCTTCAGGAGGCAGGTCGACACTATCGGTGTAGAGGAACTGGAGGAAAGCTCTGTAAACAGGGTAGGAGAATTGGTCCACCTCTATGACCTCCTTGAGGTCCTCATCCCAATGTGACTGGAACATGGAGCGGAAGTGTTGACACCTGAGGGAAGATCGTCTCTAACCATCGCTATCATGATGCTCACCAACACTCGCTCTCCCATCACCCGTCTCCCACAACTCACCTCATCTTCAACACCGCCTTATGTACATAGATGTGTTTTCCGTCCACGCTAAACTTCAAGTCCGACGTCTCCGGGCTGTCAAACTCCTTCTTCAAGCACTGGGCCACCGTCAGATAATCGTCGTGCTCTGCACACACCACACAGCGTTTCCATTTGTACTCGCGCCCCACGGCAACATCTGCCTGTGCATCGCTGGAAGGAAACCTCATTACCCACAGCCACCATGCGCCACATGACAGCAGGCATAGCGAAGCAGGCAAACACGTCATCTGTACTGTTGAGGTATGTCAGCTGCGGCACCACCACCGCCTGGCCGCGGCACTGCCCCCACATGTACACCTGGCCACCCTGGGTCTTCGCTGCAGACATGTGCGTCGAGTGGCAGGCGGCGATCTCCACGATCCGGCTGGAGAACGGGATAATGGGATGGCGCCCCTTCAGCATGTTACGATTGACACCGATACCGCATAAGACATTCAGCACACACAACACTACACGCCATCCTCCACTGTCAGGCTCGGACACCCAGCCACTCGTTCACCTCAGCCAATGAGATTTAGCGGGCGGCTGCCATGACAGCCATCCTTACCTCTTCTCTACGATCACCTGCACTGGACTCAGATGGTTGCTCTTGCTACCCGTGCCCAGTTGGCCATACGTGTTGGCGCCCCAGGCGTACAGACAGCCCTGGTCCGTCAGTGCCAGCGTGTGGGAGTAGCCGCAGGCAATCTGCCAGGGAAAGTGAGACGGCACCATGCCCTTTAGCCAAAAGCCGGAACTGTCACCCAAGGCCACACACCTAACCCAGCAATTCAACATACAATCCCCTAGTTTTGCCTTGATTTCAGGCCATTTTATTTATAATAGTAATAACGCCTTATAGAATCAATGCAGGGAATTTCTCTTCTGGCCTCCACGACTCTCCACGACACACGTAGGCGAGAGCAAGGTTGGTAGCGAAGGGCAGCCTGCTCAGGGGCTCACAGACGTGACTATTCTGCTGAGGCCGGGGCTCGAACCGGTGACCTCCTGATCACAGGCACCGAGGCTTAGCCTGCTGAGCCACACGCTGCCCCAATCGGACATTCACTAGCCCTGACACAGCCCAACAAAGACAAACAAGAGGACATCACCTGCAGCACACAGAGCCCCTGCAGACCCACCAAGCGGCACGGAGTCAGCTGGTTCCCATTGTTGCCCAGTCCCAGCTGCCCACTTCCATTATAACCCCAGCCATACACCTGAAAGATATTAGGGACAAGGTCATTTAATCCCGCATCCCATCATGAAACCTGCAAAACGTCACCTCCATACTTTGTTACTCCACACTGTAGTTGTGGAACAAAGCCTACTCATCATCAAGAGAAAGAATTCACAACATTCACAGATTACAGATAGACGTCCGCTCACCTCCCCATTGTCCAGCACTGCCATGGAGGACGTCTGGCCACAGGAGATGCCGGTCGCCACCCTGTTCTGCAGGCAGCTGGACACCCTCCGCGGCGTGGGCTGGTTGGCCGTCGATCCAGAGCCCACCTGGCCACAATTGTTGTAGCCCCACGCAAACACCTGGATGCCAAACAGGACAGATGCCATCCTCCAATCTGCACAACATCTTTAACCATCTACGGAGGCTCATATGTAGAGCAGTGTGCTACCATCACTAAATGCCAGCTATACCCACTGGCATCTCACCTGACTAACTCAAGCAAACGCTAGCTGATGTGAAGTAGCAGCAGGCACAACGTGCACATCTAGATCATGTGCTTAGAAGATACCCTTATTTGTATGCATGGATTATAGTGTGTGGAAAGGTTATGCAGTAAACAAGACATACAGCTTATTAGGTAAACAACCTCTTTGCCGCAGGCACAGGTACTCCAGATCGATCCAACACTGGACTAGTAACACTCTTGCTCTTTTCAGCAAAATTACGTACAATTCAGGAAATCATGTCACAGCATCATCAACAAACTCACGAGACAAAGCATCGTAACACAATCCTCTAATTCACTCCATCCCTGCTCCCAGTAGGCCAAAGATTTGATTTCAGGGAAGAGCTGAGTGTCATCTGCATAGCAAAGCCTGACTGAAATTTATCCAGAATATCATTTTGTTTTCGGTGTAGATAATTACATTTTCAAGAATTTTTGATAGAAATAGTCATTTTGAGGTTGGTCTATAATTACTGAGAGATGCGGGATCATGGTTGGCCTTTAAGAGAGGCTTGATCACACCATTCCTGAAATATGACTGCAGAATATCAGTGGTCAGAGGGCTACTTAGATGATGATGGACTGATTATGTCAAGGATGAGGGAGAGAGAAGAAGGAATAATGTCGAGGCTGCAGGAAGACAATGCAGGAAGCAATTTTATGGGAGGCTAATGAGATGGGGCCGAATGGGCAAATCTGGGCAACAGAAGCATGAGAGACAGCTTGGTCTTTCTGAGGGGGGGGGGGGTAAATTTAATTGGTGCTCCATTTATGAAGAGTAAAAAAACTTGGGATTATACTTTGGAACAGGGCGCAATTCATAAACACTGAATTTTGCGCAACCCTGGTACTTAATGAGTTAACCTATCAAACTTGCCATGTATTCAGTCACATCCTTTAAAGTCGAAAGGTTAATCACCCTTTACTGCCAGCAACGATAATACAAATTATCCAGAGAATTGTGCAACTCAATCAGACACGCCATTTGATAGCGGCATACAAAAGTTACTGGTTCAAATGCTGTATTGTCGGCAGACATGAACCCATTGGACCATCTCAGTAATAGGTAGGGGAGGCATGGTGGTGCAGTGGTTAGCACTGTTGCCTCACACCTCAAGGACCTGGGTTCGAGTCTCCGCCTAGTTACATCTGTGTGGAGTTTGCATGTTCTCCCCATGTCGTCATGGGGTTTCCTCCGCCTATTCCCCCCCCCCCCCCCCCCCCACAGTCCAAAGACATGCTGAGGCTAATTGGAGTTACTAAATTGCTCATAGGTGTGAATGGTGTGTGTGTCCAGTGATGGGCTGGCCCCTGGTGCCCATAGTTTCCAGGATAGGCTCCCACAACCCAGAAGGGTAAGTGGTTTGGAAAATGAACAGATCGATACAGGCTGGTCTGGAGTGAAATAATGAGCTTCCTTGGCCTGGTGCAGGGTGAATTGAAAAGAGGAGCCTGAACTCTCCCTTTTCTAGGCAGACCATCGACGATGCACATGGCCTCAGCAAGGCCACTGTATCCAAATACGAGCAGGCACTGCAACACTATTGCACCAGGTGCAGGTATACCTGGCTTGCAGATGCAGTATACAAACAAATAAATACTTTAAATTTGTTCATTAAATCTGGAGTAATTTAATGGTTTCAGGAAACTGAAATCTCACTCGTTCTTTACCACGGTCATTCTTCATCTCGTTCTTCATTCACCAAGATCAATCTTTATTGGGAAAAGCACCCCAGGTCTTAAACAAGCCAGCACTTGGACCACCAGCCACATTCGACTGACCCGCGTGACCCCTCACCTCCCCGTCAGATGTGAGAGCCATGGAATGGTGAGACCCACAGGCCACTTCAGTCACCTCCTTGCTTGCGAGATTGCTGGTCACCAGGATGGGTGACAATCCCTGGTTGGTAGTCCCATTGCCCAGCTGGCTGTAGCCATTGTGGCCCCAGGCAAACAGCTCGCCACCTATGGGAAGAATGCGGAGTTAGACCAGATTCCAGGTGCACACTAACTTCTCTGATTCACAGCAGACACACCATGAACCTGCATTACCAGCATCTTGATTGGAGGGAGCTTCACGGTACCTGCAGTTGCCAGCAGGACATGAGGTCCACTGCCATAGCTCAAACTGACCACCTTCTTCCCACTCAGACACTCCACCTTCTTGGGGAAAATGCTACTCTGGCTGTCTCCTGTCCCCAGGCAGTTGCTGCAGTTCAGACCAAACGCATATACCTGGATGGGGCAACACCACATTTACTGATTTGCTGCCACCAGGATGACCTCATCAAGATCCCTAGAACAGAGAGCTTCCCATCCACCTACACATGAAAAACGTCAGCCAACATTGCCATCACACACTGAGACGTAACCCAAAAAGGGACGGGGGCAAGACACCTCCACTCATCACAGCACCAACCTCATCTTCATGGGTGCAGTAGATTGCCTCATTGCCAGAGGCACCAAAGACACAAGCTAGGCTGATTGATGCAATCTCCTGGGGTCCCAGCAAGGTGAACAGGGGCCACTTGCTGACATCTGCCATGCCGGGCGACCTCACAGAAACCACGCAGGGCAAGGCGGTGGCGAGGCTTGAAGCAAGGACGGTGGGCGCACTCTCGTCACTCTTTATGCTGCCGTCACTAGACACAAACACAGCTCTCACGAGTGGAAGCTCATCACAGGAGTAAACCAGACAGAGGTACACCCATGATGAAATACCACTGAGCTGGTGCAGGGGGGGGTGGGAATCACACTGAGACATGGGCGTGCACATACATTTACACATGCCAGCATCCAATACACAAGCGCTTCACTCTTCTCACTCCATGCCGGCAGTTCTCCAACTCTTAGGCACATTTTTATTTATATTCATTTCATTGTGGCAGTTTAGGATGTTTTATGTAGCTTTTTTCTGCACAGTGTGTACCGTCTTTGCACTTGAGCGTGTTCCGCACTTTATATAAATTGCTGCAGTATGCAGGAACATTTCCCCTTGGGGTCAATAAAGTTCACCTTATGTGAATGCCATCGTTTCAGCAGTGTCAGACGGGTCACGCTAAAGCCTGCTTAAGCTTTAAGCCCAGTCGACAGCTAACACCACAGCTAATCTCATGCTCCTTAACAACAATGAACAATGTCCTTAAAAACAGACATCATGCGAAATACCAATTAGATATGATTGGAGTGGAAACGACAAGCTTTTGAGCAAATCGATTTTGGGAAACGAAAGAGTCGGGCTATTCCTGATGAGACAAACGGAAGACCGACTGTCTTTCCAGCGAGTGACCATGATCATCACTCCGGTAGACGCAGAACCTTTGGAAGAAAAGCTTTCATTTTCCACTGTGGCGAATTTATTGAGCGCCCGACCGGAGCTCATAGCCTCCGTTATTCAGCAGCTGCAAAGATTCTAACCTGTTAAAAATTATAATACAATGGTAGGTTTTCACGCGATGTAACTAACCTGCGCTTACAGAAACTAACAAAAGCGCTGGACGACAACCACCAGAAACACTTATCTATGACAGGCGCACATCCACTAACCTACAGCGGCGCTCCATTTTCAAAGGGTAAGATATTCCTGAGAAGAGAAAAGGAGACATTTTACCTAGTCAGTACGTCACACAACCTACCTACGAGACACCGGATATAGGGGGGGGTTCTTTACCAAAGGAACAAGGCTCACCTCTCCGGCGCACTTTCCCAAACTATCGCATTCAGCGCGTTACAGTTTCTCCGCGAGCTGCGCAAGGAAGGTAGTGGGTCACGTGATGCGGGGGCGGCCAGACCTGAGCAATCAAACTCAGAAAAGCTTCCGTATCACGGTACGGTCACATGCACAACTGCGGCGTGATGGAGAAGTCTGCAGTATTGGTGCGCTCAGACCACGAATATGGGGATTAAACGCTGTATATCTTGCATATGTATCATATGTATGTGAGTGTGTGACCATCCCCCAAAGACATAAGCCGATATTGCACATACGGCATAGCATACCCCCCCCCCGACGTGCGCACTCCTCATTTTTCTTTTTACTGTCCAGCCGACGAATGACGTTCACCCGGAAAATAATGTGACACCTGTTAGTTTGGAAGAGAAAAAGTTATCGTTAGGTGTGCAATTGTGACTGTGCACTGACAGGCGTGCTCGTATTAAAAGTGAATGCTCTGGAATGCGGAATAGCCTGAACAGAAAACGAATAATATTATGGACCTCGGACGTAAACGTGATTGGACGAGACTCGAGACTCGACGTAACTTCGTAAGACTCCATATATTTTTATTACCAATAATAAGGTTGAATTATTGATTAACGATATTGTAATACTCGCATGAATCCAAATAGAAAAGTCTTGCGTCCTTTTCAGTATGTTCATTGTTAAGGTTATTTAAATAATTCATTTTTTTTCTTTTTAACATCAGTGAGTGCTGTGTGTTGTAAAGCTCTTAATTATAGAATAGTAGTATTTAGTTATTTGAATATGTGCGCATCGTATTCCCTTAAAAAAAATTTAAAAGCAAACCTTTAAAAAAAACCCACATCGTGGGGTGTACTGGGGGAGGGGAGTTATTAATTTGGCTAGACTGATTATTTCCACAACTGTGCTAACATATCACTTGAGCTTGATGTGTGGTGAGAAGCGAGTGGGTTTCTGCTCCGGCAGCCGCCCATTGGCTGACTGGCGCCCTTCCCATACCTCTATGCTCAGTTTCCCGCTCTTTCTTCGCAAATTTTCCTGGATCGAGGATCATCCCTTTCTCACACTCATCATCCCCCTTATGGCGACTTACTTACGACCCCCTTCATTTGTGGCGTACGTTTTATTTGATTAAAAATGTAATGATCTTAAAAGGAGTAAATCACAAAACATATTCAGGTGCGGTTTAGCGCTGTTTACACTTTCGGTGGGTGTGTCATAATACCGCTGCCGGTCTACTGCGTTACAGGAATGTGGAAAAGCTGGTTCTACAAAACCCATGACAGAGATCCATTCTGTTCAGTTTTCCATATGCACACATCGCTGTCACTGCAGGATCGCTTTCATTCACGCATCCAAAGGATAAACGGGACAGCGGCAGTGGTTTCTGGCTGCCATGGGGCTCGTCCAATCCTGCTCTGGCTACCATAAGCCGCTCCACGTGGTGTTGCTGGGCCTGGACTCTGCCGGGAAATCCACAATCTTCTACAGGCTGCGCTGGAACGAGGACCTCAAGACCCAGCCTACCATCGGCTTCAATGTGGGCATGCAGCAGGTGGCAAAGAACATCGTCTTGACCCTCTGGGATGTGGGCGGCCAGGACAAGATGCGCCTTTACTGGAAGCACTACCTTGAAGACTGCCGCGCACTGGTGTTTGTGGTGGACAGCAGCGATCGTGGACGCATTCGTGAGGCAGCGAGGGCCCTCAGGCATGTCCTGGCCATGGACAGTGTGAAAGGCATCCCCTTGATAGTGCTGGCCAACAAATGTGACCTCCCCAACATCATGAACCTCAGCGAGGTGGCCACCACCCTGGGCCTGAACAACAGCACAGATCGTGACTGGGTGATACAGCCGTGCAGCGGCCTGAATGGCCAGGGGCTCCAGGAGGCCTTTCAAGCCATCGCCGAGCTGATTAAGGACAGCAAAACATCGAATAGGTGCCTCTAGCATGGGGCCTGTCGGCTTTCACCCTCCGTCATCGGTGTGGATGCTTCATTGGTCCAGAAACTACTGCTGCTTTAGGACTACTGAACTGCCACTGCACCCACTGCGCTTCCACCCACTGTCAGGATACACACCACAGTGAGAGAGAATGGGTGAGACATGTTTCACGCATATTTTTGCACCCTATCATATAGGAGATTTTAACTGTATGATGGAAAAGACTCTTTGCAGTGAGTGACAGGCGGCACTGGGAAAGTCGGCAGGCTGACACGAGTGATCCTTGTGGTAGTCATGAGATAGATATTAATGTTGCTATTTGTTACAACACTATTCTCTTATGGTCCTGTTTTTTGAGGGAGACACTAATAATAATTAATTTTATTTGCAATGCATATTTCTCATAGCCAATACTCTATGTAGTAAAATAACAGTTGAAACAAAATGAGATAGTAAAAATAAAAAGGCCATGAACTACTATTAAAATGTGGCTACAGTCGTTATTTTAATGTGAAATTGAAAGATCTGTGTGGAAAAATCCAGAATCGTGTCTGGGCATGTTTGTAGTAGAAGTGTGTGAAGGGATCTGGAGGAAAGTCCAGGCATGTTTCTCCACACACAACTTCCCACTTATTTACACCATCATCCTCATAGATAATCATCATTATCTAGTTAAGTCACAGCTTTTTGTCTCGAGCTTTCTAGACCATTGAGACGACTCCATTTTCTATCTGCACATCAACCGATGTGTTTCAGATGGTAAATCACTCATCACCTTGAAACAATCACTACACCTGCATAGATTTCCTAAAGGTAACGTCATACCCAGGACAAAGCTATTACAGGTTAAGGGACTTGTTCAAGGGCCCAACGGAGTAGAATCACTCCAGACAATCATGGGATTTGAACCAGCAACCTTCCAGTTGTTGACATAGCAACCGACACGCTGCAGAGCCTCCACTCCATCCACCGACCACTTCCATATACATGACATTTTATTCAGCTTTCTTCGAAGACACACTTCTCTGTGGTTTGTGCATTCCCTTCAGCCAAAGCCACGACTGCCAGAGTAACAGTCCTGGAACGACCACCCACACGCCATTGAAGAACACGAGGTAGATCCACAAGTAAAGCCAGTTGCTGGTGTTAAGGCTGGGGCTGCCAGCCAGCCAGTCTGGGCAGAATGTCATCCAACCTCCGTACAGCTCACACACACACAGGGTAATCTGGACAAAGTGCCTGCAAGGGGGGGGGGACAGGGAGAGTCAAAGTTTAATCCCGACTCCAGAATGAGGAACATTGTCCTTTTGGCTCTTGAGCTCCCAGCTTGACTTCAGGAATGATTTACAGAAAGATAGATAACAAGGTACTAGCTTGTAATACATCTGTACTATTCTACCTCGTAGATATTTTAAGTAATTAGAATCTACTTAACTGCTGTTGTAGTTTTTATTTTATGTTTTTATTTTTGAAAATACCAGTGTGACCTTTCTGTTCACCTGTAGTGTTTGTCTTTGATGATGGCGTAGACGAGCACCAAGGCTAGCAAGCCACCCAGCACCACCGTCAGCAGCTCTAGGGACACGATGTTTGGGTCCGAGTGAAGCCAGCGTCGGTCTGCCTTGCCATACTCCTTCCCTGTTTTAAAATAGATGTATTTGTAATGCAAATCATGTAAGTTACGGCACCTTTACAGAACAGACTGTATAAAGTTCACATCCTCCAACAACGCAACCGCGTGTCTCCAGCAGGGGTCCCTACACAGTTGCTGTCCTACTTGGTATTACATGACTTCCAACGGCCTGCACACACAGATGAAATATAAACTATAAGTAAATACTTGCACAGTTCGGCAATGAGGTTGTCCGAGGTTTCAACGGTGCCGATTAGTGACATGTAGACGAATGGACCTTCCTAGAAAAAAAAGCATGGGAAACATGCTGAGCGTCTACAACGTACGCAAAAATACGGCATCATTCTGAGATATGTACGCCAATAAAAGCCAAATGCAATGTACAAAAAGCACTGATCAAGTGAATATTATCATTTTAGTTCCGATTCAACCCACGTGTAACTTAACATGTGATCAACCGTAGCAAAACAATAAACCGTGCCTGAATAATCCGGAAAAGCTTTACCAGGGTGATGTGTACGATCGCATCGTAGAAGAGCCACACCAGGACCCATCTGTCTGCCGCTGAGCACTTTCTGCCCCACAGCAGCGCCAGCAAGTAGCCCGCCGCAAACTGTGCGGCGCAGGCTGAGAGCGAGTACACGGCGACGGGCGAGAGCAGGCTGGGGCTCTCTGCCATCACAGCGGAGACTCGGACTGTCTTTGATCGGCGTAGGGGCAGTTCAGACCCGCTGCGAGTTTTGCTGTTCTCTGCCCTTCCCCTTTTAGGCCTTCCCACTCAGTACGCGAAATCCCTGAGACCATTAGCCGGTCACATCGACCCAGCGTGTACAAGTAATATGCAATCTGTTTTTAATTGTAGCGTTGCATTTCCCCCTACAGCGTAGAGGAACGATAAATCACCTCAAAACAGAAATCTCTAAAGCCATACGGTGTATGCAGTAGAACTGGATAAAAGAATCGAGGAGTCGATTCCAGGAGGCTAGCTATCCAGAGTCGACTCCAAAGATTTGGAATCCACTCCAGTTCAGTAATTTTTTTTCTGTGCATCTGTCAAAAAAATGAAAGTCGAACATGACGCTGCTGCAAACGCTGCGTGTTGACGACTGCCTAGAATGGTCGCTATGGCGACGTCACGTGTCATTTTCCCATCCAATCAGAGCGATCTGTTCTTGGCCGTTGTTTACATTATCGTATGTCAAGGGTACAAATACATGAAGAACTCTGATTACGTGACTAGAAGAGTGAGGTGAAAGAACGCAGTTAATTTGGACTTGGGTGTTATTTAGAAATGCCACCATCAACGTAACATTCAAAAGTTTGATATTCTACTCAAAACACTACATGGTCACTAAATAATGTTTAATGCGGTAAATATAGTAACTTAAAGTGAAATACAGCAGGCCTATTTGTAATAAAATGCTGGCATTTAATAAATCAACATCACCTATATATGATGAAACATTTGAAGAGGAGCTGACATAGCATTGAAGTTGCCATCATTTACCAGTTAAATTTAGTCAGCTCTTCAAGTTACTGTACGTTGTGAAATAAGCTTACAGTTTGCAGTCATTTTCATTCACAGAGGAAGTTTTTATTAAAAATTGATCAAAATTATTATTTTCAAATGCCAGGCTGAAAATGAAGACAGAGAATCACCCTATTAATGAAATGCCGACCAATCATTGAGTACGAAGTGTGCAAACAAGACATCATGAATGTTGAAGTATACTGTTTATATATATATATAGTTTTGAAAGGTATACTTGCCTGCAAAAGATTGTCAGTAACATTAATTGGAAAGTATAAAGATCCCTTGTCAGACACGTCGACAGGGTGGATTGCAGCTGTCCCTAATTGTGTGTTTGCAGCTTGAATAACAAATGATCTCAAAACAAATTGTTTTTTTCTTGCTGTACTAAAATGGTACTGAACCGTGAAGTTTGTGTATCGTTACACCCCTACTAAATATACACTGGAAATAGGCCTACACTTTCTCTAAATCTTACCTTGGACATGATCAGGTAGCCTGAGCTAACACAACCTGCGTGGCCACACTACCATTTGGTGCTAGCAAGTCCAGAATGGTCACCCTGCAGACAACGATCGGTCAGATATTTTTAACTATAATTTCCCCTGTATCACAATGACCAAGCAACAGCGGGCCCCGCCCTCCTCGAAGGCAGGTGTTACGCCGAAAAAAGCATCCCTGCCGTAGAATGCATGACTGTCTCTAAATGACCGATTGGTCGCTGATCTGAAACGAGTTGAGCTACTTTGTAGAGTTAGGCTACCGTAGTGCTAATCGATAGCCCTAACCCTTACCGTAATCCCCAAATAACGCCTAAAACCGTAATCTCCCCCCAAAAAAAGCCATAAAAGCTCAACTCGTCAGAACACCGGCATGCATTCTACGGCAGGGATGCCTTTTTCGGCGTAACACCGACCTGGGTGCAGTACGTCTCTATACATACGCGAAGCCAACCTACGTGTTATTCAACAACCACATGAATTTGTATAGTAAATACGAAAGCAAAGCACCTTTTCTTTACCACCGTTTCTCCTTAGTAAGCGCTAAATGCCTAGTAGCCAGAAGACGATAGATACCGAGAGAAAACACGGAGTTAATCATGAGACTTCGCCCAGGACCTCGGACAGCGACTGTCACCAGGAACATTTAACCACAGATGACACTTTATCCTACTTACACCTCCAGTGTCTCCCCCCAACATGAAGGATGATAAATCCAGTATCTCAGCAGGATACACACACTGAAATTACCTCGCATTCTATTATGCCTGAAGCGTATCCATTTTAACCCCGGCACCCATACACATCCATGCACACACAATCATCACACTTGGAACAGTGAGGAAGCAATGGCTAACAGCAAGTTTATTTTGGTTAGGATCAGTAATACACAGGCCATGTCCTGAGGGAGCGATGAGAACAGCAATGTCGCCAAGGAGATCCCTGAGATCCCCGATGGTGACGTATGGCTGCGGGCAGAGCTATGCAGGCAGACGCGGTGAGCGGCACGGCCGAGGAGGGCGGCGTGTCCGCTGGGGTTCTACGGCCAAGACACCTTCTGACACGCGGTGAGAGTCCCAGCCCCTGCCTGAGAAGTTTCACGGTTATATTCCAGCAAGAAGGAAAAGCCCGCACAAAAAAAAACAAAAAACAAAAATCCAAACATCGGTAAGTTTTTTTTTTTTGTTTTGAAAAAGGTTGTGCTGCTTAGAAATGAAAAACCAAAAGGCACAATGATTTTCAACTCACCTTTAATATGCACAAGAGTTGAAACAATGAGCCACCTTAAAGAGAAATTCAATCTAAAATTTATAAAAAGATATAAACAATCAGAGGCCAAAATGCTATCTGTCGTTTCTATTATTTAAAACGGGTTTTTTTTTCCTCAGCAAGTAAAAATCTTGCAACAAACGAGCTTGTATCTGTCGGAGATACAAGGCAAAAACTCTGATCTTTAAAGTGGCTCTTTCGAGGCGTGTAAATAGTGCATCTGTACACCTGCTAGTTTTGTTCAATTTTTTTTCATGGCTCCGACTGCTCTTCCTGAACACACAGGTTTCTTCACCAGTTAGCAGCCAAAAACATAACTACATTAGTCCAAAAGAAAAAAATGGTTCTGCTTTCCATCCCTTAACAGGTAAAACGCACAGGGATTTTTTTTCTTTTTTGTAAAAATAAAAAAAAAAGATGGTTAAGCGTCCAGTCACAACAGCGAGAAAACCCATTTCTGAAAGCGGTACCGTCCGTCAGCGTGTCACGCAGGTTGGAGATAGACATAAGTCAGAACATTAATATGAGGCGGATCCGGAGCAGCTCTACACGACCCGAACGGGGGAAACATTTCCAAAGAGATGTTCCCGTTTGTACAATTAGGGTCTGATGCAGTAAATCTAAGAACAAAAAAACGTATATATATATATACGGGAACAAAAAGTATTGCAGAGACGCAGTGTGACCGATCCCATCGTCACGTGTTTGAACAACTGGCACTTTCCACAGACAGTAAGCGCGGGTCACTATTCAGAAAGTAAGTATAAGACTGAGAAACCAAACACACAGAAGCTCCACAGTTTAAACAAGTCTACTACTTGTCCTTCTTAAACTAAAAAATGTAAATTAAAAAAAAAAGTTTAGAAAAAAAAAGCCCAAAGCAAGACCAGTGTTTGCAGTGTTTGTGTCTATTCCTCAAGTGGGAGGAGGAAGGGAGAAATTAGGATTAACATTGAGGGGGTGAGGGGATTCGAACCACACCAGCTCAAACTTATGGAAGATTGGGAATCCCCACATCACATAGTATACACGCCTACAGCCTAGTCAGTCAGAAGGGATTCAGGCAACGATGTCACTGCTGTGGAGTTTAATCTTGCGGGAGAAGTTGCAAATCCTTCAGTCTGAGCTCAAGCAGAGCTTAAATCTCCACATTCACTTTTTTCTTCTCATTTTCTGGGTTCCACACTTAGAGATTAGTGCTGCGAAATATTTTTTAAACCTCTCATTCTTCTCAGAATTGTAGTAAAATTAATATCTTTTCCCCCCATCTCACCATGTGCGTGCCTTCAGTTGTGTTCACAGTCATTTTTGTAAATGATGCCATTTTAACACATAAAAACATTCCAATGATAACTCCCAAAACAGAAAGATAAACAAGAGTTTGCTCAGTCCATCGCTGCTCCCCGGCCTGTCCCCTCCTCCTCAGAAGCCAGGCTGGCACCAAACAGCCGCTGTCTGTCCCTCCTGGCCCGGCCCAGACGAAGAGCCTCAGTCCAGAAGCTGGTGGGCTCTGCAATCGCTTTAGTGAGCCTGGGATTCCAGGGAAGTAAAAAAGGATGACAGGATGGCAGGGGGGGGGGGGGGGGGCAAGAAAGAAAAATCCTCTCACACTGAAGCTGGGATTTTTCCTTCTTTCTTGTCAATATGATACGTTTTTAGGATCATGCACAAGCAGCTCCTGTCCGCGAGTTTCAGCGAGAGGGACGTTTGGCAACTGCAGAGTGAACAGAGAGGAGGCCTTTTCCGTCACAACGCCTCTGTAACCAAGAGTCATCAGGGGTGGCAGGGGTGGGGCGGGGTGAGGGGACGTTGGAGAGGATCGTCTCGAATTGTCTCCGATCCTTCAGTGCGTGGTCGCGGAGTGCGCTTCTGGTTAGTAGATCTACTTAGGTCTCTTGAAGGTGACAAGGTGCTGAGGATGTGTATGGGGCAGGACTTCGCTTTAAAATTTGAACTCCTTAGTCTGCAGGTTGGAGGCTGGGTCAAAGTTGAACGTCCCGCCTTGAGTGGCTTCAGGAATCAGACTTGGGTCTTCATCGATCTTGGGGGTGGGGGGGCAGCAAAACAAAATAACAAGGGTCAGCATCATGAATGAGGTCTGCAGATTTTCCTTGCAATAAGTCACTGCTCAGACTGTTTAAGTACCAAATAAACAGCTTAAAGGAGAGTACCCACACATTGAGCCAAAAGGCCGATATTCTAACTGCGATGTGTCACAACTAAACCAACGCAAAACTATTCTGTATGAACATTTTCATTTCACATACAAAACCAGTATCATACAGGTCAGTGACCAAGATCCATGTTTAACTGGTGCACCTACATCATCTCCTGAAAAGTACTGGTCGATGATTTCAAATGCCAGTTTGTAGATCTCCTCATTCTCGTGTTGTTGCAGATTCTCAATTTTCTCCAAACCTACGATGAAGACAGGATGATGACTTTTGAGGACAAAACTCGTCTAACTGCATCTCACTGACTGTGCACCTGCACAGTGACAAAGCCGAATCTAATCTAACATGAATGATCTTACCGCCACATTCTTCAATAATCTCCGCGATAGTGCTGGCCTCCTCGCCTGCCATGATCAGAATGTTCTTCAGCCCATCCAGGACAACCTGAACCACCTGAGAGTCCTTCACAGACAGCAGGCTGCAGAAGGGCGGGACCACGTTCTGCTGGACTAGGAACTCCACCTGTGGAAAAAATCAAAGCTGTGACTGAACGAGCAGAATCTTAGTGCATGAACTGCATTTTCTCTTTTTGGGAGGGGGGGTCTTAACCCTTTGGGGTCTAGGGGTAGGAGACACACTTTCACTGACTGGGGCATGATCACACATTTCTTCAAATATCATAAACTTAACTCATGGCAAATAAATTATTTCTTATATATTTGTTTTGCCATTACATTCATCTTTATCTTAATGTATATTGTAAATATGTCAGATTTATGTTAAGTTTGTAATTTGACATCAAAGTATAGACATTGCAAAATGCAGTTTGGAACACTTGCAGAAACATTATAAAAGTACATAGTAAGCAATGCTGGCAGTTTGTTTTGATCCCAGATATCTGATCAGCAAAGTCTTGGCTACATGAAGATGACTAAATGGTGTAGTTGCAACATTCAGTTGGATAAATGCATAAGAAAATGGTAACTCATGCCACTATTTCTGGCTCCTTTAATTGAATATGTAGCAACTTTCATGTGTATGAATGAGCCATTGTCACCTGGCCACGTTCCCCCCCCCCCTTTTTATGGCGCTGAAGGGGATGTATCTGGATCGCGTTTCACCGTTGCGCTGTTAATCAAATTACCATGCGAATGCGATTTGAATACGCGCTAATGCGGCTATTTAGAATGTGAATAGCGATCTTCGGGTGAGAGCGGTACTACACGCCCCCGATGCAGGTAAAACAAAGTAAGGTGACATGGTTTACTTTTTTGCCGATTTAACCTAATTTTAAAAACTTTAATACTTCCGACAATGGACGTTTTGAAAAGAAGACCGATTACGGATTTAGCCAGCGTTTTTTTCATGACTCTACATTAAGATTTCAGCGAGATATAAACTGAAATAGACGCGAAAAGTACGCTGCGTCGCCGACGATGCACTCGACCCCAGAGGGTTAAGAAAAGAAATAGAAATTAACTTACCTGATCTTTCCTTCCACTTATCGTCAAGTTGCTTATTGCCCAGGCAGCTTCTTTCTGTGTGCCAAAGTCACCCTGCAGAGAGAAAGGGGCTGTGCATCACTTCTCTGTGACCAGCTTCACCACACTGTGAATGATCTGCACAAAACAAACTGCATTTGATGACAGCGAGGTAGCAGAACATTTACATTAAGCTAGTCCCCAATGGGGGGAACAGATGACATTCCATTTAAGAATATTGCCATTTCTCATTCATATAGCGATTGCACTTGCAGACTGGGGCTTACTACCAAACTGCAATATGTGGGAATCAGGGATGTGTACAAGTTGGTGGTGATGGTGGAGCGACCTTGGCCAGCTGCTGGATGATCATGGGAATCAGACCAGCGTCGATGACAGCCTGGACCTGCTGCTGGTTCCCAGCTGTAATGTTAGACAAGAACCACACTGCCTCCTGGAAAGGCAAGACAGACGTGTTAACTTTGGTTTCACCTTCACAAACACTCACAAACCACGGGCTCAACAGGGATGTTTCTCAATCCATCATGTTTGCTGGTGACAGCGAGATAATGCGTACAAGAAAAATATTATTGACTGCTGTGTGAAGGCAATACATGCAGGGCAGCTACAGGACCATTTGGGATGATGTTAAACACAGTGAGGGTCCCACAAAACAGATCTTGGCCTTTTTATTGGAGGGTTAGGTTGTCTTGGCTGTCTGAGTTCTCTGCAGTTCTGTTAGTCTGCAGCTGACCTGTCAGCTCCCAGTGGTGCAACTGCAGTAGCCAATAAGAGCTTGATTTTTGACAACAAAGCCAACCAGGCGCCAACCAGGCTAACAAAGCCAACCAGGCGCCAACCAGGCTAACAAAGCTAACCAGGCGCCAACCAGGCTAACAAAGCCAACCAGGTACCAACCAAGCTAACAAAGCCAAGCAGGTATCAACCAGGCTAACAAAGCCAACCAGGTACCAACCAGGCTAACAAAGCATTAAGGCGGCAGGTAAGGGAACATATGGTGATGACACATAAGTCACAAATAAAAATCAACGAAGTACAACTGGGATAAACACGCTACAGGCTGATCACAAGGCTGCTGTTGCTCTTACCTTGTTGATCTTCTCTTTGTGGTGTGTGAGCAGGTTGGGGAAGTGGGACAGAACGTCGCAGTTCAGCACGACCTGCGTCTGCTCATCTGTCCCAGTCACTATGTTGCCCACAGCCCTCAAGGCTGCAGTCTTAACAGGAAGTGACACGTTAGCCCCACCATGTCACACCCAACAATCAGTATTCAAGCAAGCAAGCAAAAAAAAAAAAAAAGCCAGCTCACCTGAACTTTGACCTCTTGGTGACTGAGCAGAGGGACCAGGAAGGGGACCACACCCGAGTCGATGACCATTTGGATCTGTTCATTTCCTCCATCAGTCAGGTAGGACAAAGCCCACACCGTGTCGACCAGAATCTAACACCAGACGGAGGGACAGGTCCGTTCAGACACAAGAATGTCCAGTAGATAATGGTTGGCTTAACTGGATGATTTTAAGGCTCATTGGATTTACTGGCATGAGCAACGGCAATAAACCAAACGCACCTATAATGTTTACGATGAGAAAAGCAAGTTTCTCTGAAAACACTGAGAAGCTATGCCATCGGTATTATAATTTACTACCCTTAAACTTGGATTATTATTCTGGTAAGTGTTATAAGCAACTGTTGGGGAGAGGGAATATTCTATTATGCCACACAAAAGCATCAGGACTGGAAACTTTTTCTTGTGTGAATGGAGTTCATTTGTGAGCTTTTAAACTGAGTAGGTAAAATAAATGAAAAGATCTTGCTGTTCAACGTTACGAGAGCTCGAATTATAAGATTACTTCGGAGGCGTTTTATTTTTTTTAAGACTTTGTGACCGCCATTTAGGGTTTATAACTGTAAATGACTTGCACTCGCCACAAAGGTGGGCATGAGCTCACAGGAAGTGGAGCACGGCCTCCAGCAAATCACCCAGGCCGCGGGAAGGGCGCCTCTCGGCACGGCCTCCTTCAGCCCTAAGCCTGTCTGTCACTGCCGAGAGGAAGCCTGACAAAGCTTTGTGGCAGCAGCTGCGTTTACAGGAGGCATGAACTCAAAACAGATGAGGCGGCACTTACATTAATATCGGTGTGATAGATCAGAACGCACAGGGCGGGCAGGATCTGATACGGAGGGAGGGAGGGAGAGAGAGAAAGGCTGAGTGTGCAGCAAACAGATGACTCAGCACTGATAGGCAGGCATTTTATCAGATGCCACCATCAGAACCAGAACAGGCAAACGCTGGGTCAGTACCTGGCCGCAAAAAGCTGCCTCCATATCGACCCCCCAGCATCAGCGGCATCAAGCGCTAAGCTGCTACTATCCTACTACAGGACCGACTATCCCCCCCGAACTCTCACACTCACCGATTACTTTATAATCTTCCACTCAGCAATGAATGGATCACACAAACCGGGATGGAGAAAACACAGACACACACACACACACATACACACACACACACACACTCTCACACACACACACACACACACACACTCTCACAAACACACACACACACAAATGAAATGAGGCAACATACAGGCAAGCACTAAAAATAAAGCATTGTTGCAGGAGGTCAGAAAATGACACATTTACACTCCATGCATTGTCTCTGCTGTCAAGCATGACTGGGTCAGTACCGAGTCTCCCCTATCTGTGTCCCCTCCACACCGGCGAGGACAGTTCCCGCACAGAGAGTCTGTTTACTCAGAAGCGAACTGCGTTAGTCATCAAGCTAATGGGTGATTACAAACACAGCCGTAAAAGCTGGGCTATGTAAGGATCCATCGCTGTTCCCAGCTTAGATTATCAGCCCTGAGGTTTAGTGGCTTAAATGAATTCTGATTGGTCCAAATTCTGGCCTTTTCAAACAGTGGAAGGTCCACTTTCCCAGTCCGGTCCACAGAGACCCACAGACAGTCCATGTTTTTGCTCCCTCTCAGCTCCCAGTAGATAGCAGAAACATGGACTGTCTGGCAGGGAGCTGGGAGGGAGCAAAAACGTGGACTGACTGTAGGCAGGAAAGGGTGTGTGATTCAGTAACTGGCTGCGAAATGGGTGGTCATGAGGACGTGGGGATTGACAGGCACTGTACTGGGGTACAAGTTCTAACCCAATACAGAGGGAGGACAGGAGACAATGGGGGGGGGTGAGCCACCCACACAACCCCTCACTCATATCAAAAATCATATGCTGCTTTCAACCCAAGAAAATAACATTACCCGTGAAGTTTACACACACACACAAATGGACACACGCAATACATTTACTTAGAGCAGGGGGGGGCAATCTTATCGGCAAAGGGCCGGTGTGTGTGCAGGTTTTCGCTGCAACTCCCTAATTAGGTCACTAATTAGAGGACTGATTGGCTGAAGAGTCCTCACACCTGGGTTTGAACAGCTGACCTGCAGGTTATCCCAAACACCTGCATACACACCGGCCCTTTGCCGATAAGATTGCCCCCCCTGACTTAGATCATACATCACAAGAGGCTGAAACCAGCGACCTTCTGATCACAGACACAGAGGCTTAGCACACTGAGCTAGACGCTGCCCCCTATAGAAAACTCACTACTGAAAAATAAGGTTTCAGTAGTGAAACCTTTTTAAATATTTAAATTGACTAATGATCCTAAACACCAATTAACATGAGCAAATAAAACAAGCGTCACTAAAACAGCGTGTTCTATAGCAAAGGGTGTTTCTCCCTCTCTCTCTCTCTCTGAGATGCGCGCACACACACACACACACAGACACACACACACACAGACACACACAGACACACACACACACAGACACACACACACACACACACACACCTTACCTCTTGCACCGTTTCTATCGGAGGAGGAGGGTCCTTGTTCCTACACAGGTTCACGATGACCCAGGTGACGTTCCGCAGGAAGGTAATGGGAATGGAGGGGTTGATGAAGGACAGCAGCGGTTTGACCACACCCAGCGAGATGACGTAATCTCGGCACTGTGGCCCGTCGCCTGCGGGCACGGGAAGGCGGGGTCAGGCTGCGGGAAGTCGGCCTGATGTGGGCAGGACTTCCTCCGAAGGGGCGACTCACCGATGATGTTGCCCAGCGCCCAGACAGCCTGCTCGCACACGTTCTGGTGGGGGGAGTGTAACAGCCGCAGGAAGAGCGGGACCGCGTCTGCGGGTGCGATCAGACAGTGGTCAGACCCTCACTGGCACACAGATTAGAGCTGGGAAGAAACACGTCAGCTGGGGGACTCACTGGATTTGACCACAGCCTGAGTCTGTGCGGAGGTGCCGGATGCAATGTTTGTCAGAGCCCAGGCCGCCTCGAACTGCAAGGACGGGCTGCGGGAAAAGGCGGGACTGTTAGCTCACAGACAGTGGTGGGCGGGGCACCGAAACGCTACAGGCCGCTCCCACTTTTCAGGTCATGGTAGCTTTAAACCTCTGCAGCTGAATACGACAAACACCATCTTCTTCACAGAAACCCCCCCCCCCGTTTCTCCAGCACCCGGATGGCGACGCCGCGACCGGCATGGATCACTAGGTCAGATGCCGGAGCCTGGGAACAGCGACCATCGGCAGCGGAGGAACTCAGATCTGTTTCTATTGGCAGGCGGAGACCAAGCCGCTGGCCCCAGAGCGAGCCTGACAGTGCGCTCCCACACGCCGCCTCCCCCCATGACCTCTGACCTCCACAATCTGGCCAGAAGTTACTGCGCACGGGGAGATAAAATACCATGGTGCGCAAATCTAGGCATGCCATTACAGCGGGAAGCAAGCATTCAGGAAACGGGGACTTTCAGATCCAGTCTGAAGATCTAAACCAGCCAAAAAATTAAAAAAATAAATAAAAAAACAGTAGGACGCAAGCATGCAAAAGCTTCCAGTTCCTAAGCGGCTGAGACCAGTGTCACTCAGATGGACTCCGAGGAGCCCTCAGTGCCCCTGTCACCAGGACATGTCACCGCATTTATGTTACATTGTCCACGGTGCTGTGTCACCCTGCACCATCTGTCACTCCAACAGTTCCACCCCTATTACTTAGGCCACGCCTCCCTGGCACCAGGCCCACTGATATCTGTCAGGGAGTGAAGACTGCCCCCTGCCCCAGCCCACGCCCACCACCCTCCCCTAGGGGACACAGGAAGTGAAAGGCTCCACACTGGGTGACTGGGAACCAGTTAGAGGGCAGAAGGAAAGGACATGGCACACATGGATGCTATGGCACTCCAACACGTG